CCAAAGGTGTGGTACCCAGATTTGCTCACAGTACTCCAAGTGGGGTCTAACCAAGGTTTTGTATAGCTTTGTTTATACTCAAGTCCTCTAGATAAAAAGGCCAGCTTGTCATTAGCTTTCTTGATTAATTTCTATATCTGTTTGTGGTATTTTAAAGGTCTATGCATCTGAACTCCCAAGTTTCTTAGGACATCCACTGTATTTGACATTATACTATCTAGAAAGTACCCTATATTTATCCTTTTTAAGTTCAAAATGAATAACCTCACAATTGCTTACATTGAACTTGACTACCAGTTTTGCCATTTCACCTAGTCTATCAATATCCCTTTGTAATTTTATACCATCAATTACTTTGTCTACAATGCCACCTAACTTTGTCATCAACGAATTTAGATACTTGACTTTCTATGCCATTATTCAAGTTGTTAATAATGTGAATAATTGAGGCCCTAACACACATCCATGTGGGACCACTGGTCACATCCTGCCAATTTGAGTACCTAACTATTATTCCTACTTTCTGTCACCTACAATACAACCAATTCCCAAGCCACGTCAGTAATTTGCCCTCAATTCCTTGGGCTTTTACCTTAATTAACAAACTGTTATGTGGGACTTTTTCAAAAGCCTTCTGGAACATCCATAGACAATCCTCTGTCCATTACTAGTCATTTCTTCAAAAAATTCAATGAGGTTTGTTAGGCATGACCTACCTGTCAAGAATTCATGCCAGTCCTTTCTGATTAACTGAAAAGTTTGGGGTGTACAGTTACCCTAACCTTGATTATAGACTCTGAACAAGTTCCTCATCACAGATGGTTGGCTAACTGGCCTGTAATTCCCCAGTTTTCCTCTTTCACCCTCTTAAAATGTGGAGTGAACTTGCAATTTTCCCATCCAGAGGGACAACTCCTAAATCTAAGGGACTTTGTGAATGCCTTAACTGTAATCTTTCATGTGCTCCCGTACTTCCTTTAACACCTTCAGGTGGAAACTGTCAGTTCCCGGGGATTTGTCACTCTGTAATTCCAATAATTTCCTCATTACCAATATTTTACTTGCGTTACTTTTATTCAATCCCTGTCCCTGATCCACTATTAATTTCCTCCAGACTTCTGGCAAGCTATCCTCCTTTTCCACTGCAAGTAATTATTCAACATATCTGCCATTTCCCTATTGTCATTGACAGTATCCTCACTTTCGGTCTTTAGTGGGCCAACACTGCTCTTGACCACCTGCTTTCCCCTTATGTAATGTAAAATTTCGTATTGATTTTGATGACACTTGCAAGTTTCCTTTCCTAATCCCCTTTAGAAGATCTTACAAGATGCTTTATGACCCTTTGCTGGTGTTTGTATCTTTCTCTTTCAACAGGATCTGTACTGGTATTTTTTGCACTTTTGTAAGCCCTTTCTTAGTTTTATGCAGACCCTCTCTTTAATTGTCCAATGCTGTTTTTCTCTGTGAAGTGGAGTTTTTACCTCTCAGGTATATAAACTGATTTTTGTATTGCATTAAATGTTTCTTTCAACAATTCTAAGCAAACTGTTTATCTGTTGTTTTACCCATTCGCAGATTGTCCCAGTTTATTGTGGATAGTCTCAGTCTCATTAAAGTCAGCCTTACCACACAAATTGGTGCTATGTCTCATATCAAAAGGAATACCCAAAAATTCTATAAGGAAATCAATGATCTTCAATGCTCCACAGGGCTAAATGCCACCATCTTCTCTACATTAGCTCACACACAGGACCAGCACCTACACTGACTCTGCCATTGCACACACATCTCACCAATGCTCATGGACTAAACTCTCACTCTCCATGCATCATATCCTCTCCATGATTCTCCCATTATCCCCCAAGATCATCTCTACTTAGTCACAATGTCTTATAGCTCTTTATCTCTTCTCCCACTGCCCACCATGATCTTTTCTCCTCTTAGTTAGATCTTTCACGTGACTTTGTACTTCTCAGACAAATTCTAATGTTATCAGCTTGGGTTTCATGCCAAGATTCCCATAATCCCCATTTGTCAGTCACCCCTTACATTGAGAATCTGATATTTTTCTTCCTGTAACCCTAACTCTATCGCTTTGCTACCTTTCTCACCATCACTCATGCCATATTAGGAGCAAAAAATTCTGCTCCATCTCTTTTTAATTTAAACAACTAATACAATTTGTGGTCTATGGCTGTAATCCAATTAGATAATGTGATTTGAATTTAGCTTTCAACATTGTTCAAGGAAACTTGTAATTCAAAGCTTATCCCAAATCTTGGCAAAATAGTAAATCCAACTGAGAATACTGAAACCATCTTCACACTTGCATGTGACTTAGATGTTCAGTTAATAGTGTTAATAATTCAAAATGCCAAATTTCCAGATTGCAAAGCAGATATTTACATAGTTTAAATCAGTTAAAATCCAAAAACTCAACTCAGGGACCTTAGAAATAATAAACGTGTATATATAAACATTCTGTGCTAAGAAAAACTGATTAAAATGTTTCATGCTTAAGGGTGGCAAGGTGGAGCAGTGGTTAGCACTGCTGCCTCACAGTGCCAGAGACCCAGGATCAATTCCAGCCTTGGGTCACTGTCTGTGTGGAGTTTGCACGTTCTCCCCATGTCTGCGTGGGTTTCCTCTGGGTGCTCTGGTTTCTTCCCACAGCCTAAATATGTGCAGGTTCAGTGGATTAGCTGTGCTAAATTTCCCTGTTGTGTCCAAGGATGTGTAGGTTAGGGAGATTAGCCATGGTAAATGTGGGGTTACAGGAATGAAGTGGATTTGGGTGGGATGCTGTTTGGAGAGTCGGTGCCGACTCAGTGGGCTGAATAGCTTCTATGTGCGCTGTAGGATATTATGATTCCTTCCCTAAAGGACATTAGTGTACCAGATGGGTTTTTCCGACAATTGACAATGGATTCATGATCATCATTAGATTCTTAATTCCAGATATTGATGACCATGAATCCATTGTCAATTGTCAGAAAAACCCATCTGGTTCACTAATGTCCTTTAGGGAAGGAAACTGCCATCCTTACCTGGTCTGGCCTACATCTGACTCCAGACCCACAGCAATGTGGTTGACTCTTAACTGCCCTCTGGGCAATTAGGGATGGGCAATAAATGCTGCCTAGCCAGCAACAGCCTCATCCCGTGAATGAATAAAGAAAAAAAATCAGTATCAAGGAGAAGATTGCACAGGGTTGTTATTTCTAGGAACACTGCTGTCAAAGTACACTTCTGACTTCTTTATGAGATGGACTTTCAAACAAAAGAAATGTTGGTACTTCTTAAACATTCATAGTCAGGAAACCTCTTTTCACTTTCTGTAATTATTCCACTCATGTTTCAGTTCTCACGGCAGAGAATCAACAGCTTTCATTCGCTTCAGTGCCAGTTCTCATGTCCAAGTTTATTTGCTATTGCCCTTTGAAACAAGTCTCTTTCTAAACTGATGCTTGTAACTTCGCTTGTAACTTTGCTGCCTGGTCAGTCAGCTATGAAGGTTCACTGCTATGGTTGTTTTGATGAACTCTAGAGCGAGCCGTTCTCAGATCTCCCACGTGGCCTGTCTGAAAACTTCTGCTCTCTTTTTCCTCCTGTTTAAAGTATCATTGTTTTTGTTTTATTTTTAAATGTTTCAAAAACAAAGCAAAAACATATAACAACAGTAAATTACTGCTCTAAGAAATCGAGGAAATCAGCTCCAGTGCTGAAAAGCCTCAAAAAAAAGGAGCAGCTCTTACAGTCACAATTCACTCCCATCCACTATTTTGGAATTCCTTGGTTGAGAAAAAAGCAGGTTGAGACAGTGGGATTGAGTGAATCCCTCCCGGAGTATAAGGGCAGTAGGAATGTACTCAAGAGGGAAATCAGAAGGGCAAAAAGGGAACATGAGATCGCTTTGGCAAATAAGGTTAAGGAGAATCCAAAGAGATTCTACAAATACGTTAAAAGCAAAACAGTAACTAGGGAGAGAATAGGACCCCTTAAAGATCATCAAAGTTGTGTGTGTGTGGAACCGCAGGAGATGGGTGAGATACTAAATGAGTATTTCATGTCAATATTTACTGTGGAGAAGGATATGGAAGCTAGAAGACTTCCAGAAATAAAATGTGATTCCTTGAAAGTGTCCATATTTCAGAGGAGGTGATGCTGGTCATCCTTTTTAAAGATGATACACTTGAATTTGTTTTACTTTAAATGTGTAAACAAAATAGAGTCATAGAGCTGTATAGCATGGAAACAGACCCTTCGGTCCAACTTGTCCATGCCGATCAGATATCCTAAATTAATCTGGTCCCATTTGCCAGCATTTGGCCCATATCCCTCTAAACCCTTCCTATTCATATATCCATCCAGATGCCCTTTAAATGTTGTAATTGTACCAGCTTCCACCACTTCCTCTGGCAGCTCATTCCATACACAGGTGTTTAATGTTATGAATTTCAGTTTAAAGTTGTTTCCTACATAATTTCTGTGTGGTCTGCCTTCTCTTGAAAACTTTCCCCATGTTTATGCTTCCATATTCAATTCTCCTGGCCTTCCTTCTGTTCATGCCCCTGCCCTCAGTACCTCTTTAACCACTCCTATCATTGAAAGTCTTAAGCTTTAAAGTGCTTGCCTTCAGACCTCAGCTGTGTATATTTTCTGTTACCTACTACTCATAGTATGGAATTAAGATCTGGGCTCCACCTAATCATAAAATCCCTACTGTGTGGAAGCAGGCCATTCAGCCCATTGAGTCCACACTAACCCTTTGAAAAGCACCCCACCTAGACCACAATTTAAAGTGGGTATGTCCTAACCCTATCATCAAAAATATTGTGATTGTACCCCAAATCTGATACTAGGAAGATTGATCTAAGCATTCCTTGTATGAGGGAATCCACTCCTGGTCTTCACGCATTGGGAACGAGTGATGCTGAAAATTAATAATAAAGAAAAGGCTACAGACACAGCAAACAGTAGTCTGTGAGAACAAAAACTGTATTTCAGTCTTTTATTAGGGCACTGAACATACGCAATTATCCAAATTAACACAGCAAGTAGAATAACATGCTAGAAATGGTGTGCTGAAATATGTATAATGTATGTTATATTTTGGAAATTTTTTGGAAAAAGATGGGTTTTGGTTAGCCCAAGGTGTTTTGTTTTGGAAAAAAAAAGGTCAGTAAGTCATTTGGACAGTGACTAAATACATAATTTTGTAAGAAGGCATATGACTTCAGCCAAGATCAGCAAACCTCAAGGTGTTAATGTATAAAATGTTTACACTTGGGTTTATGATAAGCAGAGCAAACACATTAAGGCAATTTGTTTAATTTTGATTTCAGAACAGAAAGTTCAAAGTTAATTCACAAAAATCTGCAGTTTAGTTTCAGAAGATAGTATCATTTCTGTGAGCAGTGGAAATAAGTATTTTCCTATTCAGATCAAGGGAATCAGCCACCTCAGTAGAAGTGATTTATTGTTTATGAAGCTTCCAAAAAGGGAGACTTTGAATAGAAATAGAACATGATACCAAATTAAACTAATTCCTTCTGTCTGCCCATGGTCCATATTCCTCCATCCCTTGCATATTCATGTGTCTGTCTAAAAGCCCCTTAAACACCCCTATCGTATCTGCATCCGCCACTAACCCTGGCAGCACGTTTTGGGCACCTACCACTCTCCATGTAAGCAAAACTTTCCCCTCACCTCTCCTTTGAACTTTCCCCTCTTACTTTAAATGCAGGCCCTCTGGTATTAGACATTTCAACTCTGGGAAAATGATTCTGATTGTCAACTCTATGTCTCTTGTAATTTTATAGACTCCTATCAGGTGTCCCCTCAGCCTCCGTCGCTCCACAGAAAACAACCTGAGTTTGTCGAACCTCTTCCTATAGCTCATACCCTCACATTCCAGGCAGCATCCTGATAAACCTCTTTTGCAGCATCTTCAAAGCCTCCACATCCTTCCTGTAGTGTGGCAACCAGAACTGAATGCAATACTTGAAATGTGCCCTAACCAAAGTTTTATAAAGCTGCAAGATCACTTCCTGACTCTTGTAATCAATGCCCCAACTAATAAAGGCAAGCCTACCATAAGCTTTCTTTACCTCCCAATCTACTTGCGTGGCCACTTTCAGGGAGCTATGGAATAGGAACCCGAGATCCTACCATTTACTGGATACTTTTCCTTAATATTTGATCTCCCAAAGTGCAAAACCTTGCATTTGCCCAGATTAAACTCCATCTTCAAGATGTTCGAACTGAAAAAGTTTAGGCCATCAGCATTGTAAGAGATCCACAATAGCAGACTTGGAAAGCATTTTGAAATTATTTCTACAGTCAAGAAAAAGAAACTGGAAACTCACCACCACATTAACTAACTGCAAAAGTTAGATATGATTATACAAAACCAAGTTTCATCCTAGGAGCTGATTGTCCAGTAACAGCATCAGCAGGGATCAAAGTAATGGGCTCATACATTGTTGACCATGATAATGTGTTACATATTAATTTATTTTAATTCAGAAGTATTAATCTGAAAGCTGATGATATAATGCCTGATTTCTATTGCTTGTGTATCAAATTGATACACTCACTACATTTAAGGAATTACAATGCACTGTTTGACACAGCACTTGATGTGCTGGCTGATGACTATCTTCAGTATCTTTCACACAACAATGGCCCATGGAGTGGATTCAGGCACACAGTCTGGAACCTATAAAGAGAAATGACAACCATACTGGAACATATAGCAAGAAACAAGTATGTACCATCAATTAAAAATCAGTGATTAAACAAAAAGTACGCGCCTTACCATCTCAGTGAACTGATCAATGCATGCCATGCGAATCTGTGCGGGTGTGGAAGGACTGTTCAAAGTGAAACTCCCTGTTAAACCAATCTCTCTTCTTGCTGCTGCAATCGCATCCTTAATGGCATAAAACACAGAGCAACCAGCAAGCACAGCTGCTTCACTGATCCCCTGGAATTGGGACAGGAATAAAAATGGCATATGAAGCTGTCAACTAAAACTACTACTTCTCTCTTCAAATGAGATAATTTCCCCTCTGATGTGAGAAAATAGGTAATTCAGTGCTCACCCAAATAGCCATCTGTTATTTTTGAGCTTGGAGTCAGCAGCCTGTTTGACAATGGGACTGTGCATTTGGTCATTTGCTGGCCCAGCAGACATATGCACTACAGAGCTGGATTTTACATTTCTTGGCAGGGTGAGAGAGGTAGAGCAGAAGCTGTCATTCTCGCTCCTGCTGTTTCAGTACAATATACCAACCTCCAAATGGCCAATTGAAAACCCCTTTGCAGGAAGGCTACAAATTAGTGGCATGAAGCGGATGTCTGCACCCGATCAGACTGAGATGTTAGGTGTGAAAGGGGTCATGTTATGAACTTGGTCATGCTCATCAAATTAAAGGCCCCTTTCCCACTTCATCTCTCTTTAGTTCTAAGCCAGAATTAAAACAATAAATGAAGTCAAAAACGTACAAACATTTCCACTTTCAACCATGGTCCCATTGGCAGGATTTTGGGTCAAAGACTCACGGTGAACTTGAAACTCTAAACTCTGCTTCTTTCTCCTCAGATGCTGCCAGACCCTTTGAATCTTTCCAACACTGGTTTTATTTCAGTTATCCAGCTTAAGCAATATTTTCCTTCTATCGATTGCCTATGAATTGTTTACTTCAAAATAGCAGACAGGCTTCCAATGCCCTCATCAATATCAAAGATTGGTGTGTTGATATTTTATAAATGTGCAGGGGAATGCCCACCAGATCTGAAGTTTAACGTTCTAGTCATGGTCTTTATGTCTCTATACATTCCCATGTCACCTTATCTGACAGACTACCAGCCCAATCATCCTAGTTTAGATCTGGAACTTACTTTGGAAGAGTAGATGGCTTTTGGATTTTGTGATCTTGGTAACAATGACACATTCAGCTGTTCTGGAATGTCACAAACAGCAGGGATCTTGTACTGGGTTGGTCCTCGAGTGTAGAGCACCCCTTTAGGAGAATATTTTAGCTCTTCCATAGTGAAAAGCCCAAGTCCCTGGGTAAAAGCACCTTCAATCTGTAAAACAGTGAAGGGAGTGATTATCAATTTGAATATGAAGGACCACATCAATTAATAATCAGTTTTACTCAACCATAAAGAAAGACCAATGTGCAATTTTTGCATACTCGGGATGGCTCAAAGGTACGTTATAGTCATTGGAGTACTCTTGAGTTCAGAAGTCACTGTTGTCATGTAGGAACCACAGCAGCTAACTTGCACCCCCAACAGAACTGCATCAGTTGAGTGCTGCACTGGAATGTCAGCTTAGGTTTTGTGATCAAGTTTCCGGAGACAACCTCGAATTTGTAAACTTCCACTAAAAGGCAGACAAATGCTGTTATTTTAGCCAAGAAGTTGATTCACTGCTGTCTCAGTTATGTGGTCATTAGAAGCCTTCAGTTTTAACTCACTAATGTGGATTATGAGAAAGTATTCAACATAGCCAAGCCTGATCCTGACATCCATGTGCACTAGCCACAGGAATCCCGCTCCACTGACTTCCTCAATTCAGTGCACTATGAGCAAAGATAGAACTTCCAGATTGTGTCCTGGCTCAACCAATACCAGGGGTGGAGTTTACGTTGCACTGGGATAACTGCTAGGTGCATACCCCATTCATTCCATGTGGACATCTCAGTTTCACTCATAAAAAGCCCAAATTTAAGAAGCTGGAATGGTACTCTAATGAATGCTCCAACACAATGGCTCACAAAGCAATGGAACACTGCTCAATACTTGACATTCCTTTCTTCATCAATGATCTGGCAATCGGACATTTGCCAATGGAAGAGGACACATAATTACAAAATGGCATAATGTGCTGGAATATTGCACAGTGGTTCCAGAGTTAACAGACCTACTCAAATGGCTTCCCCTTCCTTTCTCTCACTGCAAGATCATGAGGAGGATCTGAAACATCACTAAATCTAAGTTCTGATACATCTGGGAAGACCAATGAGATGCAGAATGCAGATTCTGTTGAAGAGAGTCTCATTTAAAAACGATCACTGACTACAGAAGTACTGATGCCAGGGCAGATCCATATATCCACTTAATGCTAAGGAAACTCTTTTGGGAAAAGAATTCTTTACAGTTTGGTGAAGATGCCCAAATGGAATGGGATGGGATTTATTGGGGATGAAAGCAGCAGCCCCTCTGTAATATACCTTTGTCATTCATTGTTTGTATTTAGTTTCTCACTGCTTCTCAACTGATCACTGAGAGAAAGTTGTTAAACAATTTAAACAATCCAGTCTGACAAGCTAAAGTTCAGAAATATTTGAGAAACCCAAATAACTCATAAACCGTACTATAGCATTTTGGGGGCAGAATCATGGAAGATACAAAATTTAATAAATCAACAATTGTTATTCCTGTTTTATAAAGTTTTATGTTTCAGGTAAATACTTATATTTGTTGTGTTTTCTGTTCACATACTTGTCATTCCATAATCCAGGATTCTGAAATCCAGAAATTACTCAATCTCAATCATTCTTTACTGTCAAATATTGTGTACCTGCTGTCCACAAGCTGGGGCTCCATAGCCAATAACCTTGGCAGTGTCCAGCACAGAAATTTTCGTACCAAAACAGGAGGTGGATGCATTCTTTTGTTATCTTCCCCTCCTTCAATCAGATTATATGACCTACCTGTCCAATATCCACAGCCGGGTTTATGCTGCATCCTGCATCAATCACAATGTCTGTCCTGATATTCTGCCAAGCAAGAAGACACAATGTCAGTGTGCTACACTGAGTAATGACTCTGGAGACTATAGTCCAAATCTCCTGGAGAGCATAAGACCCTTAATCTCAAGCATATGTTGGACCCACATCGGGTGCTATTATTTTGAGGGCTCTTGTATGGCAGTGCCTCTCCCTATGGGCCAGAAGGTTCAAATCCCACCTGTTCCTGAGGCATGTTATAAGATGTCTGAACACGTTGAAGGGGGTGGACAGGTAGTTTTGGAGGAGCTCTTTGTGGGCCTGCGATAAGATCTGGCTAAGGTTACCATCAACAGGTCCAGGCAGTATGCAGTGGAGGATATTGTAATTCCCAACTACCTACTTCTCTTCCGTAGCTATGTTCATGCCCTGGTATCCTTGAACAGAGAGTATGCAATGTCCACCAGCACCTTCAAGGCTTTTAAAGAAATGTGGGCATTGCGGAAGCTGCAATGTATTATCTCCCCCTCCAACTCCATTTTGATTCAGTTCCCTCCCTTGATTCCCCACCTTTTTTTCTTTTTTTGTTATCATGACACTGCGCTGGTTGGGATTGTGTGTTAATTGTTATTTGTTAATGAATTAATCAGGTTATGTGGTGATCAGTTTCTGTCAAAGTAAAAGAAAATGTGCTGGGGTGGTTTTACCTCTGAGTGAGGAGGTCTTGCTCTAGAGGTATGTCATAGCATATTGGACCAGGTTGATGTGTTTTTAAAAAAAAAAGGCTGGCTTGCTAGACAATATCACCCCAATCACTTACTTCCTGCTGATTCCTGGACTTTAAATAGGTTTTTGACTTTACCTAAAATCAAAGATAGCAAAACCTCCAAATGAAAACTCAAATATTCAAGTCGGGCATGGTCACTTGCAACCATGTTTCCACAATGTTCATACACATTTATTTATATCTGTGGTAATAATTAATCTATTTTGTTATGATTGCTGAGCACATTTAGGTACAAAACCTTTAACACTGACTGCTTACCATTTTTGCAATCCTTTGGCTTTATCTACTGGCATATTCTTAAATTTGTACTCTGTTGCTTCATGTCATACACTGCTTATCAATACCTAAATTGCTACCTACTTTGTTAGCTTGTTTTCCTTCAATTTAACACATCTCCTCTCAACTGTTCTCTTCACCTGTACTTAGTTTAAAGCCCTTTCTACCACCCTTATTATAAGAATCGACAGTACACTGGTCCCAACACAACTCAGGTGAAGTCCCAACAGTACAACTTCCATTTCCCTTTCTGAAGGGTCTAGGCCCAAAACGTCAGCCTTCCTGCTCCTCTGATGCTGCTTGGCCTGCTTTGTTCATCCAGCTCTACACCTTGTTATCTCTTCCATTTCCCTTATATTGGTGACAGTATCCCAATAATCGAAACGCATTTCTCCCACTAGTAACATATTCATCTCTCTGATTTTAACTACCTTTTGCCAATTTGCTCATGGCTTGTATAATCAGAGATTATTCTCTTTGGTTTTTTTTTAAACTTAGCTCCTATCTACTCATAGTCTCTAAGCAAAACTTCTTTCGTAGTTCTACCAGTGTTGTTTGAACCCCACATGTCCTGGGACAACTGGATCCTCTTTTATCCCCCACTACCCTTAGTCCCAACCTGCAAGTTATTCAAGCCCCGAGCAGATATCCTAAAATCTAGCTTCTGGCAGACAACACAGCTGTCTGGTCTCTCGCTCTTGGCTACAGAGAACAGTACTATCCCCCTAGCTATACTCTCCCAGCTACTACAACATTCCAATTCACTTCCTGACGCCTTGAATTCTTCCTGTCCCACAGTGCCTTGCTAGTTCACTCATCCACTTGGCAGCTCCTGCTGCCATCATTTCAAGCTGCAAGAACATTAAACCTTTTGGATAGCAGCAAGGGCTGAGGCTCCTCCACTATTCCCTTCTCAATCACAGACACACCCTCCTGTCCCTGACCATATCAGACAGCCCCAGCCAAACGGTATTACTGCCTTCTGGAATAATGTGTCTAGATAATTTAACCCCACCCCAGTGCATTACAATGTCTATAACGTGGACTCTGGTTCACCAACTGTAAGCTGAAGCTCCTTGAGCAACAAACAGTTACTACGGATGTGGTCGCTTTGGATCAGACCAGCATCCATCATTCTCACATACTGCAACCACACACATCACCTGCTCTGCCACCTACATTTGATTAATTATTTTATTTTCATCTTCATTTATTATAATCAAAAATCCTAATCCTGATAAGTTTTACTTGTGCTGGTAAACTTTACTGTACAAACTAAATCTCCCAATTACAAATTAATTAAGTGGATTTTGAAATGAGAAATACTCACCAAAAAAATATTTATCTGTTTTCCTGTGATATCACACATTAATTCTTCTCAGATCTGCTCTGGAACCACAAAGCTCCCCCTCACTCCGTTTTATGACTGTCTTTGTCTCTATCACTGTTGCGTTTTACTCCCTTCAAGTGGTTTTATGAGTTCTTTCTACTGCTGCTGTATCTCCTCCTGTTATGCTTTTTTTCATACGGACTCTCTCACGCTGCTGTTCTCTCCTCACCTCAGTGTTTTTCAACACTCCACTGTCCTGTCTTGCTGCTGCTCTATCCTATTCGAACATTATTTTGTGGACTCTCTCGGTCTCCAATACTGCTCATCCCACCTTTCTTGCTGCTTTACATGTTTTCTGTCTTTCACACACAGTGCTGTTTCTTCCCCTCACACTGCTTTATATACTCTTGTGCTCTCACTTTCTCTCTTTCACAGCTGCTCTCTCCTCATACGGTTTTATAGGCTCTCGCACTCTGTCTCTCTCTCTCTCGCTTCACCTGACTGTTAATCAGAGTTGACATTGTACATGCTGAGAGGATAGGTTTCATTTAACAGTATGTGGGGGCAGGGAAGAGAAAGTGTTTAGACCCCCTCTTTATAAGGAGTGTCCTGCAGAGAGGGCATTCCACAGGTGGCATTAACAAGGGCAGGGTGGGACACCCCTTACTGGGGAACCAATTTGATTGGCTAGCAGCACAAGCAGTCCCAGTACCAGAGTTTGATGGTGGGTGTTGCTAGGACTGCAGGTAGGTATGACAATACTTTGGCTTTAAGATGTGTATTTTGTCCTGTTTTATTTTTGGAAGTGAGGTTTTGAGCCAGAGATGTCGAGTTGTCTCTTCTAAGCCAATTAAGTAAACATCTTGTGAGGCCCTTTTTTTTAAAGTTAGGACAATAGAAGAAGCATGAACGGGTGGAGTCAGGCTCCCACAGAACCAGACTTTTAGTTTAGCTTTCAGTTGTTGGAGTTCGAAGTTGGCTGTGGAAGCTGCTGTACATCTCTCTCAGCCGCAGCAAAATAGCTGGGGTTCTCTCTCTCTCTCCACCAGAATTTTCTCTTGGTGTTCTTTTCTTCTGGATTGGAGAAACACTGCATGTGACACACTCTGTTTGCCAAGGGTGTGTTCGTGAGATGTCACTATATTGGAACAGTTGCTGTTTAGTGGTTAAATAATCTATTATTCTGTTAAGTCATCCAATACAGTTGAAGTTACACCAATTCTTCTTTCTTTTGTTTGTGTTTTAACTGGGTATAAGAATAAAGTGTGTTTTGCTTAAAGCCAATTGCATTACCATTGAAATTGCATCAGGAATACAGCACTTTACACTTGCCTATAAATAAGATAAAAGTTAGGGTCTAGGCAATCTCTTTGGTATATTTGAAAGGGGTTAGATCTGGTCCATAGCACAGGCTTTTATGGAAGGCAGCAATGGATCCTGGACCAAAGTACAGCAGGATCATTAGATGGGGAGGCACATAGGGATAGGAATGGCATGAGGGTGATTGGGGGATAGTGATGGGTTTTAGAGAGCAGTTGGGTACGTTACAGAGTGTCACAAGGCATGAAGCAAACCCCCTGGAAAACAGTAACCTTCTTTAGGGAGGCATGGTGGCTCAGAGGTTAGTACTGCTGCCTCACAGCACCAGGAACCCAGGTTCAATTCCACCCTCAGGCAACTGTCTGTGTGGAGTTTGCACATTCTCCCTGTGTCTGCATGGGTTTCCTCCCACAGTCCAAAGATATGCAAGCTAGATGGATTGGCCATGCTAAATTGCCCATAGCATTCAGGGATGTGTAGATTAGGGGGATGGGTCTGGGTGGGATGCTCTGAGGGTTGGTGTGGACTTGTTGGGCTGAAGGGTTTGTTTCCACACTGTAGGGATTCTATGGTTATTCCCTGTCCTATGAAGAACTTTTTTATCCTAAAGAAATAGGCTGTTTATTCACACCTGACTGACACTGTAATGAATTGTATCATAGGGATCAGTTGAGATTTTAGTGTTCAATCACTCTGTATCATGGGGGTGAACTTGGGGTGAGTGTATAGGTGATAGACCGGGCAGTATGAACACCACTACTCCTTCCCTCCCCCCCTCCATACACACACACACACACACACAACTTAAAGCAGCCTTGGTGAGGTCCATAAAGTTCATGGGGGAGTGTAGAACTATGGGGTGCAGTTTCAAATTAAGGAAACTCCCATTTAAGATAGTGGTGAGGACAAATCTCTTCTTGAAGGGTTATTAGTCATTAGAGAGATGACACAAAGATAGGTGGAGGGACAGGCAGTGTTGACAGGAAATGGGAAGGAGTTGGACAGGCTAAGAGAGTGAGCAGTACAAGATAGAATACAACGTGGGAAAGTGTGAGGTCATGCACTTTGGTAAGGAGAATAGAGGCACAGATTATTTTCTAAATGGGGACTTAGGAGTCATTGTTCAGGACTCCCTTAAGGTTCACACGCAGGTTCAGCTAGCAGTTAAGAAGGCAAATGCAGTGTTAGCATTCATTTCAAGCGGATTAGAATACAAGAGCAGGTATGTACTGCTGAGGTTGGAAAAGGCTCTGGTCAGCCCGCATTTGCAATATTTAGAATTAGAATTAGCTTTATTGTCATGCATACTCAAAGGAGTACAGTGAAAAGTTTACAAGTCGCCATTTACAGCGCCATCTTTAGTACAAAAGTACTTAGTTACAAATTTTTCAGTAATAGTTCTTAGGGGAAAAAATAGAAGAATAAAGAAATAAAAAGTCCAGTAGTGAAGATTGTAGAAATAGAATAGAAAATAGAGAAATAAAAATTTCAGAACAACAGTCCTTCCAACGCAGATCATGCTGGCATCTAGCTTCCAGTCCATGCTAGGCCTCCACTCCAGACTGCGGACTTCACCTCAAGATTCTCCAGGCCGGGAGACTACTCAAGACCAGAGGTCCACGCTGGTCTGCTGAGAGACTGCCATACCAGTCTGAGGGAACTCCTCACCACACTGGGAGGCCACCACGCCAGGCTGAGAAGACAGCACACGGGGTCTTCACTGAGGCTGGGAGTCGCCACATCAAGCCAACAGAATACCTCGCTGGGTCTCCGCCGAAGTCATCAGTCCAAGGCCAAGAGTCGAAGACCACGCTGAGGCTGAGACCACGCTCAGAAAGAAGAGAGAAGGAAAAAAAACACAAAAGAGAAATAAAAGAAAAAGAAATGGATGGAGGGGGTGAGGTCCAGCTGAAGCGTCCTACTCTGCTGCCACCTTGGATGGAAGGACTGTGATCATTGTGAGCAGTTTTGTCCCCAGTATCTAAGGAAGGATGCGCTGGCATTGGTTGTGGCCTGGAGGAGGATTACAAGGATCCTGGGGATGAATGGCTTCTATTTTGAGGAGCAGTTGAGGACTCTGAATCTGTACTCAATGGAGTTTAGAAGGTGGGATCTCATTGAAAATTACAAAATACTGAGAAGCCTGGATACAGTGGACCTGGATAAGACGTTTCCACTAATAGGAGTGACGAGAACCTGAGGGCACAGCCTCAGAGTGTCGGGACGATGCTTTACGATTGAATTGAAGAGGAATTTCTTCAAGCAGAGGCTGGTGAGCCTTTAGAACTCATTGCCACAGAAAGCTGTGGAGGCCAAGCTAATGAGTGTATTCAAGAAAGAGATATATCGAACTATTGATTAGTAAGGCAATCAAGGGTTACAGGAAGCAGGCAGGAGAATGGCGTTGAGAAATATATATCAGCGATGATCGAACGTTGGAGCAGACACGATAGGCCAAATCATCTAATTTTTTTATTCGTTCATAGGATGTGGGCATCACTGGCTGTACCAGCATTTGTTACCCATCCCTAATTGCCTAGAAGGTAGTTAAGTATCATCCACATTGCTGTAGGTCTGGAGTCACATGTAGGCTAGACCATGTAAGGACAGCAGTTTCCTTCCTTGAAATGACATTGGTGAATCAAATGGATTTCTCCCGATCAGTTGACAATGGTCATCATGATACTTCTAATTCCAGATATTTATTGAGTTCAAATTCCACATTCTGCCTCGGCCGGATTTGATCCAGGTCCTCGGAACATTACCAGAGTCTCTAGATTAACGAAAACAAAGTTGCTGGAAAAGCTCAGCAGGTCTGGAAGCATCTGTGAAGGAGAAAACAGTTAATGTTTCTAGCGACAATAAAACTAGGCCATCAGATTTCCTTCTGCTCCTAAATCTTATGGTCTTATGAAGAGCAGTGAAGACTGGTTCATATAATATATTCAATAATAATTTAGACATATTTAGGTAGTATTTTGGCTGCAGACAAGAAAGTGGAATGAAGACCACAATCAGATCAGCTATTTAATTATTGAATGGTGGGGCAGGACCAATGGACCAAATAGCCTATTCCTGCTCCTATTTCTTCTGCTCATAAAACCCAGTTTAAATCAGCATTTTTAGAAGAGGGGACTGTTCCAAAGTGAGGGTCATGCTTTAGGAGAGGGTCAGATTTGCACTGCACTGACTGTGCCTTCACAATCTTCAAAACTGCAATTGCAGTGAAAATTCTTGTTTCACAAAGAAAATAAATAAAACTCTGTTCACACTTCCTTACTCGTTGTCTATCTTATCCATAAGATTCCACATCCTGCTATAATCTCAGGCTGCCATCTTCATTTCTGCAGCTCACCTTATGGTCTCCTGTCAGGCAGTCAATCTCCACCTCGGAACAAGCTGCTCCAAATACGAAGTAGCTGGCTGTAGTTCCTTCACCTTTCTCCCAGTCCATGACTATATCCTCACCCCTAAAATGGTCAACACATACATCCTTTTACTTCACAGTGACATCAGTAATGATCACTGAGATAACTACATTGAACTCTTAAAAATATTTGATTCTGTTCACAGAGGAGCACTGTTGGAAATGGAAAGGCTGGTGAAGGTGCATTCTCTAACTTGCTTTGTGCCATAGCTACTAAACACAATCATTCGGAGTAAAGACTTGCAGCAAAAGGAGGCAAAATGGAACACATTGGCCAATGTGTCTGTTGGGTCAAAGAGAGATCAGTGACTGTTTTATATTGTTATGTTTATGGACAGTGCACATTGTACCCTCAAGGCTTCACAGGTGTGCAGCAACTCAAAACATTCTGCGCAGCTGGGTACAAGTCACCCTATTACCATCCATAAGCAGTCATACAAAGATTTAAAAGGAGCCTGATGTTTAAACAATTGGTCTACACACTCTAAAACAAAACATTCCTGTGTATTCAGTGGACTCCACTTTGTGTTTCTTATGACCCAGACTCTGTGACTACCTATTGCTCATGCATCATTGATCCACAGTGGAATCTTGGGGCTGGTTTTGGGAGATGGACAGTTAATCTCCTTCCAAAATTGAAAGCATCAACATCAGTCAATCATTTGAGATTTCATTGAACCACGTTCTAATTCAGCATTTTTCCCAGGAGCTGTGGATCTATGTACTTTACAGTCTCCTCTTCCTCCTACCAACCGTAATTTTTTTCAGATTTAATCATGGCGATACCTAATCTTCTTTTCTCACAGGGTGTAAGTATTGTTGACAAGGCCAACATTTATTGCCATTCTTAACTATCTAATTGGTGAGCCTTTTGAGTAGCAGCAGTGTGTATGTCGAAGGTAATTCCCACAATGCTGTGTGGTAGAATTTCAGAACTTTGACATAGTGACAATAAAGAAAAGATGATATGTTTCTCAGTCAGGGTGGTGTGTCACTTGGAGAGGAACCCGCAGATGCAGGTGTACCTGTGTACGTGGTGCCCTATCCTTTTAAATGGTAAAGGTTATGGGGCTTGTGAGGTTATTAGTAACCTTGAAAAGTTGCTTTGGGAAACTTGCAGAGAGCAGCAATGTCATGCAGGTTGTGGACAACGTGTATATTTGAGGTGAACGGAGTGCAGATCAAGTGCACTGAAATACGTTGAGCTTCTTAAGTATAACCTAAGAATAATTTTCCATTTATGTTCTCTACTCTCCTGCTCTTCTACACCTGGTCATGAGAAGATATGATCTTATACATAGAAGAAAATGTAAATGTAATCAGTGCCACATAATTCCTAAGATTCCATTCGGTCAAGGTGATCTGCCAATGTACAGGTTCAGTTAAAATTAACAGTCAGACTTACTTGAAGAAACCAGTTGTTGATAAGCTGACCTTGTTTTTAAAAGCTTCTTCCACCTGTCAAAACACATTATGTTTGTAAGATATGCTCTTCAGATATTTAAATAATGGTAAATATTAGGTAAGGTGACAATTTAAATTAAACTAGAAAGTTTTGTGAATCAGTGTCATAAATCAACTGCACATGTGTGATATGATAATGAAGTACAATTATTATTGTATGTTAGTGAACTGCATTACCAAGCCACATTAATAACATAGAATCCCTACAGTGTAGAAACAGGCCATTCAGCCCAACAAGTCCACACCGCTCCTCTGAAGAGCATCCCACCCAGACCCATTCCCCTAACCCTGCATTTCCTAACCTAAACATCCCTGGGCACTATGGGGAATTTAGCATGGCCAATCCACCTAATCCTGCACATCTTTGAACTGTGGGAGGAAACTGGAGCACCCAGAGGAAATCCACGCAGACATGGGGAGAATGTGCAAACTCCACACAGACAGTCTCCCAAGGCTGGAATTGAACCCAGGTCCCTAGCACTGTGAGGCAGCAATGCTAACCACTGAGCCGCCAAATATGGTACAATTATCAAAGGTAAAATTGGGAAACAAAGAAAGACCAGGATTTATTTCATGCCTTTCACAACTACAAAATGTCCCAAAGTCCTTCACAAATTATGAAGTAGTCCTGAAGTTAAATCACTGTTGTGAGAAACATGCTACATAACAATTTCCCACTAGCAAAATGATGTTGCAGATTATTTGGTTTTGTGATGTTGACTGAGGGATAATTATTGGTCTGTACTCCAGTGTTACCTGCCCTACTGTTCTTTGATATAGCACAATAAGTCGACCTCTCAGGTCTTAGGTTTAATATGTCATCTGTGAGATGTCTCTTCTAGTAATGCAGTATTGAGCTGGAGTGTTAGCCTTGATTTTATGCTGAAGTCTTGGAGTACAACTTGAACGCATAACTTTCTGATTCAGAGGTTTAAGACTTATCGTACACAGCCATGGCTAATTAGTCAGCTATTGAACTCCTTCTATTGACTGCAGAGGCATCAGGATTGGTTACACAAGTGTCCACTATAGATCATGCACAACCTATCCTGACACCTTTCAGGTCAGTGGCAGGCACATGCAACTGAAGAACATCAAATCTGACTTCAGATCCTGCTTTATTGTAGGAATAGGACCAAATTACTCTGGAACCTGTACAGAAAACAATAAATGCTGGAAATCACAGCAGGGCAGGCAGCATTCATTGAGAAAGAACAAGCTAACATTTTGAGTCTAGATGGCTCTTCATCAGAGCTTATGTAAGCTGTGGAGGGGGCAGCATTTATGCAATGGGGTGGGGGGCTGTGGAGCGCTGGGGGAGAAAGGCTGTTGATAGTTCAGATTAAGTGATCGGATTATGAGAATGGCAGAAAAATGGTGTGTCTAACCGCCAGACTGGAAAAACCAGACAGTGGTGGGGAGGGGAGGACAGTGGGGGGGAGGGGAGAGAGGACATGGTGACAGATAATGTGACAGGTATAGCTAAAAGAAAGAGAAAGGAATGGGAGTTATTATGGGGATAAACCTGTTAAATTTGCAATGCATCAGTGATGTACAAAAATGGAAATAATGACTGGAGGTGAATGTTTTCTGAAGCAAATTCAAACTACTCTGTGGGGGTAATTCACAGTATGTTTAGTTGTTGATAAATGTGGATCTTAACCAAAAATCATTGCCTCAAACCTCGTGATTTTTTTACTTTAATTTTAAGATTATTTATTATTTACTGAATAATACTCATTCGCATAAAATAACACACATGAATAATTCATGCAAGTTGGAGTAAACCCATACAAATTGCTTTTCGCAAAATCTTCCTGATAGCATTTGCAAAAAAAAGTCCTTGGCAAGAAGAATTAAGGAGAATCCCAAGGCATTTTATATCTATTTTAAGAGCAAGAGGGTAGCTAGAGAAAAGGTAGGTCCACTCAGAGACAAAGGAGGTAATTTATGTGTGAAGCCAGAGAAAGTGAGTGAGGTCCGTCATATGTACTTTACATCCGTATTCACCAAAGAGAAGGACATGGATGATGGTAAGATTAGGGAGGGGTATGTTGATATTCTGGGCCATAACAATATTAAGAAGGAGATGGTGCTGGGTGTGTTGAAAAACATTAAGATGGATGAGTTGGCTTTTGAAGGAGACAAAGGAGAAGACCACTGGGGCCTTGACAGAGATCTCTGTATTCTCTTACCCACAGGCAAGGTCGCAGGAGACTGGAGAATAGTCAATGTGCTTCCTCTGCTTAAGAACAACAACAGGGATAATCAAGGAAATTATAGGCCACTGACCCTTACATCAGTGGTCTGGAAATTATTGGGCAAGTTTCTTGGGAGCGGGCAAGTTTCTTGGGAGCAGGATTTACTCATATTTGGAGAAGAATAAACTTATTAAAGATAGTCAGCATGGCTTTGTAATTTGATAGTTTTTTTGAGGAACCCTTGAAATTGATTGATGGGAGTAAGGAAATGGATGTTGTCTATATGGACTTTACTGAAGCAGTTGACAAAATCCCTTGTGATAGCTGGGTCCAGAAGGTTAAGTGAATTGGGATCCATGGTAAGTTGGTAAGTTGGATACAAAATTGGCTTGGTCATAGAAAACAGAGTGTAGTTGTGGAGGAGTGTTTTTTCTGAGTGGAGGCCTGTGACCAATGGTATTCCAAAAGGATCAGTGCTGGGACCACTGTATATAAATGATTTGGATGAAAATGTTGGTGGTCTGATTAGTACATTTGCAGACAACATGAAAATTGGTTGAAAATTGGAGTTTGGACAGTGAGGAAGTTTGTAAAAGGATACAGCAGGATGTAGATCAGTTGGAAAGAAATAGCGGGTGGAGTTTAATCCGGACAAGTGTGGGGTGACGTATTTTCAGACGTCAAGTGCAAGAGGAAACTATACAGTAAATGACAGGGCTCTTAGGAGCATTGATATAAGAGGGATTTGGGGTACAAGTCTATAGCTCCCTGAAAATGGCAATACAAGTGGATAAGATGGTAAAGAAAGTCTGTGGCATTGGTCAGGATATTAAGTACAAAAGTTGAGAGCGTGCAAAATTGGTTTACCAGGATGTTGCCTGAATTAGAGAGTGTTAGCTGAAAGGAGAGGTTGGACAAACTGTTTTTGCCAGAGTATCAGAGGCTGAGGGGCCTGATAGAAATATATAGAATTATGTGAGACATGTATTGGGTGGATAGTCAGAGTCTTTTGCGCAGGCTGGAAATATCAAATACTAGGGGGCGTAGGTTTAAGGTGAGAGAGGGAAAGTTTAAAGGAGATGAGCAAGGAAAGTTTTTTTTTAGACAAAGGTGGTAGATGCTTGGAATATGCTGCCAGGAAGGTGGTAGAAGCAAACGTGATAGCAATGTTTAAGAGGCATTTAGGCAGACTCATAAATAAGCTGGAAATAAAGGGATATGGACCATGTACAGGCAGATGGGATTGGTTTAGAATGGCATCATGGTTGGCACAGATAGTCCAAAGAGTCTGTTTCTGTGCTGTATTGTTCTACGTTCATGCTCTGAGAACTGTTGTACCTTTGTCCTTACTGCCTCAATTAAGGCTACTCCGATGGTGGCTAGTATTATCCCCTTGATGGGGTGGAGTACGTACATCTGCTCTTGTCCCCACCAAGAAGGGTGGTAGCTTTTGCAGTCAATACCAACAGCCTAACCCAGGAGATCTCATTAGGACCAAAAGAAATGTAATAACATCACTCATGTCAAAGTCAATAAAAAGGTCTTTTCTTTGGATGACCAGGTTGTGTAGAATGCAGCAGATCTTCATGAATCAGGACATATTCTCCTTTGAATTCTGCAGGGACCCCTCTAGGAAATTGCAGGCAATTAAATCATTGTTTCAGCATCTCAAAATATCTACTTAAAAAAGGTTCTATAATAGCAGAGCGGTTTTCATTATTTCCTTGTTGGCAATGTGTGTTTGAATTGCAGAGGGGCATCATGAGTCAGGTGTAATGTGGATAGCCCAGCCACTCTCTGGTTTAACATGGTGGCTGAGAGATTGAGGGAACACAGACTGTACAAGGTGAAACCATCTTTACAATTGCCAGGCATTCACCAGTTCAATACAGTTATACACCAATTGCTTATTCATTGAATGGTAACTTTTGCAGTTACGGTACAGATCAGCGTTTAAATTGTACCTGCAAAGCCACATGTGTGGTTGATGACACTGCAGTATGGGGAAGCCTAATATCCAAGCAATGCTGCAAGTACGCTCCTGCTTTCATCTGTCCAAAGAGAACAAAATGCAATCCCCTTTCCTGACATACACAGCTTATGTCACATCTCTAGTTCTGAAATGTATAATGCATTGGGAATTTTAGCAAGATCCAGCCTGGAAGGATGTTGACATTTACAAATTCTGGGCCACCTTCACTTTCACTCGCAGCATTGTCCTCAGATTCCATGAGTTATGTGAGCAGCTTATCCGTGAATTATGGATGATCACCATGCTGATCTTGGATTATGTGGAGGTGCAGAAAGTGCCTCTATAAAAATCTCCTGCTGAAAGCCCTTCTCCCCTCCCTCTCGGAATAGTTTGTGTTCATATTTGCTGTCTGTTGTGCTGCAGGCCATGATGGGCTGCTGTTATAGTATCCATGATTGGGAACATTTGATGTGTTCAGAGCTTTTGCAGTAATAATAAGTGTGTTCCCCATGTTCACCTACACCACCTGCAGGCATCACAATCAGTAAGCAACTCAGCACTTAAACAACTCAAACAACCATAAGAAGATAAGTAACAACTAACTCACAGATTGATGAAGCATGCTGTTGTTGGGGGTTAGGGTGGGAGGACGAAGTGCCTTCATGCTACTCAACATGTTAACCAGAGCAGCAAGTTCCAAAATGGTATAACTAGCATTAAATCAGTGTTACACGCTTTTCTGATATAATGATTTGCTTACTCCTATCGTTTAAAATGATGACATCTAATCAGCGTCATGGGTTTCCACTGCAGATCTACAGTTGAACATGCCAATTCACAACTCTAAGATTTATTTTCTCCCTCTGTTACTACTCTACCTTATCATCTAGGTGTTTGGACCTATAAAACATGATGCAGCTTGAATGTCAAGTTGTTGCCATTTTGAACAACTGGTAGTAAGCTCCTCCTGGTCATTAATGTTAATGTTACCAGGTAGGAGGAAGAGGTGAAGCAGAGGGAGGCAATGGGGGCTCAATGATATTATCATTGGTCTATTAATCCAGGGACACAGGTAATGTTCATGGGACCTGGGTTTGAATCCTGCCATGGCAGATAGTGGAATTTGAATTCAATATAAATCTGGAATAAGAGTCTTGTCACTTATCATAAAAACCCATTTGGTTCACTAATATCCTTTAGGGATGGAAACTGCCATCCTATCTAATCTGGCCTACAAATGACTCCAGACTCACAGCAATGTGGTTGACTCTTATCTGCTCTCTAAGGATTTAAGAATGGGCAATAAATGCTGGCCCAACCATTCACTCCCACATCCCATGAATGAATAAATAAAATTTAAAGATGAGGTTCATTGTGCCTTTGTTGCATTTTCTTTGTCCTTCCCTGTTTGACAATAAAGACCTGCGTAAGTAAACAAAATCTTTGTGTATAGAGCAATTGTCATACCAAATTCACATTCTAGAATAAGGCCTGGACTGTACATCAGTGACACGACTGCTAAAGAAATTCTACCAAAAATATACCTCCACCACATTGTACAGATTCAGTAGGAGGACCCATCAAAGAAATGCTAAGATCCTTCTTGAAGTCAATTCTACAAGCAGTCAAGCAAGACTCCTTCAAAATCAACTATCTTGGACTGGACACTGTGCCCAGAAGGCTGAATAGCATTATCCACTTCTTAGCAAATAGGAAGGATGTTGTTAAACATGAGAGGGCACAGAAAATATTTACAAGGATGTTGCTGAGACTGGAGGGTTTGAGCTATAGGGGGAGGCTGAATAGGCTGGGGCTTTTTTCCCTGAAGCATTGGAGATTGAGGTATGACCTTATAGAGGTTTATAAAATCATGAGGGGCATGGATAGGGTGAATAACCAAGGTCTTTTTGCTCGGGTGGGAGAGTCCAAAACTAGAGCGCATAGGTTTAAGATGAGAGGAGAAAGATTTAAAAAGGAACTGAGGGGTAATGTTTACACACAGAGGATTGTGCATGTATAGTATGAGCTGCCAGAGGAAGTGATGGAGGCTGGTACAATTACAACATTTAAAAGGCATCTGGATGGGCATATGAATAGGAAGGGTTTAGAGGGATATGGGCCAAATGCTGGTAAATGGGACTAGGTCAGATTAGGATGTCTGTTTTGCACGGATGAGTTGGGCCGAAGTGTTGTTTACGTGCTGTATGAATGTGGATCTGTATGACTATAAATGGCCAGTATTCCTTTTGTGATGACTTATCTATAATGTACACTGTAATGCACTCACCAAAATGGCATTCAGCATAAACCACGCTGGAAGTGATCAGATTCAGAACAGCACAGACAGTATTTTGGGATTAAATTAGCACCTTGAGCTCTGATGCTAATGGCTTTGTCAGAGCCAAATTTTGCACTCGTTATCTGATTATCTGATAGCTGCTTTTGGGAGCTTGCTGTGCCCAGATTGGCTGCCAGATTTCCTTTGTTGCAGCAGTAACTTCAAAATTACCTCATTGGCTTTAAAGTGCTTTATGATGCCCTGAGAGATCGTAAGGCTCAATATGAATATAATTTGGTTTTAAATATTCTTTTATTAAAACTGCCTAAATGGTTTATACTGGTGACTCACCCAGTCCTTCCAGGTTCCTTTGGGATTTTCATGCATGAAAGGTTGCAGTCGCTGCAAGAGAGTTTGACACGCATCCTGAGAGGAACACAACCAAACCATGATTAGGAAAATACCATGTCAGGAATTATAATGACGAGAAAAATACTCTGGAATCAGAATCCAACTGAAGTGTAAACAACCACTAACATCTGTGGGAAATAAGCCCTCCCTGGTAAAGATAACTGTATGTGTTTAAACCGGCTTTAACCAACTCAGTCATATTAGTATGAGACCAGATTAGGTAAGGACTCAGATGAACCCTATAGGTGTCGGATTCCTCATACTATGGGAAGGTAAACTGGTCACCCGCCCTCTTGATCATGGAGAGTTGAGGCTCCAGTAAGATGGGTAAATATGTGAGAATCATGGACTCCAGCATTACTTTCACAGATTAGAAGTGTTTTCACATTACAGATGATCAGCTGTTGAGATCTGGTGGGTTCTCAATTTTCATGTTGTCCCAAAGGCAGCTGGGTCTTGTGAGCAAGGGCTAGACTGGTGAGCCTTGTGCTGACTGACATCTAGTGGAATAAATACAGAAAATGCCGGAGATACTACAATGTCAGCCAGGCATCTGTAGAGAGAGAAAAAAACATAGAGTTAATGTTTCCTCCAGGAAACTACCATTGTCGAGAGCTTCTTGCCCATCAAGATCTCACCAGAAATGGGCATTGGGTGAGCAGGGTGGCATTTGTGAGGATTTCAAAGTACCCACACAAAAGGAGTGACATGGAGCCAGTGACATAACTTTGAGCTGCCAGTTCTGTATCATGATAATCACGGAGGCCTGAATACAGTGATTAGTTTAAGTTTCTTCCTCCTTATAGCAACCCAGTTCATTCAGTAGTGACCTTACTTCATTTAAGCATGATTTCCCACATTACCTTCACAGCCATGCCATTGAGATCGGTGCCAGAGGAGGCCGCAGTAGGGCTGGTGTTAGGCACCATACCAGTGGAGGTTTCACTCAGGTGAATTGCAGACATTGGAATCTGCAGCTCATGGCTGGCAACCTGAAAGATCAGGAAGGAAAAGGAGTTAGATCAGTCAAAAATAGAGTGTTTAAACAAAAGCAGATCACCTTGTGCCAATCATCAAGACAATCTTCTGGAAGGTCCAAGTGGATTGGAGCACTTTAATTTAAGGAGGAAGGAACACAGAAAGCAGCAAAATTTCTGCCAGTTAACCTATCATCTGTTATAGAGAAGATGCTAGAATCCCTCATTAAGAAGTTACAGTAGGAAACTTAGAAAATCGCATGTGGTCAGGCAAAGCTAACATAATTTTATGCAAGGGAAATCATGTTGACCTAATCCACTATTTTGATAAAGTACTAACTATAGTAGGTAGATAGGATAGTGAAGAAGGCATGTGGTATGCTTGTGTTTATTGGACAGTGCATTGAGTCTAGGCGTTGGGAGGTCACGTTGCAGCTGTATAGGACATTGGTTAGGCCACTTTTGGAATTCTGGTCACCCTGCTATAGGAAGGATGTTGTGAAACTTGAACGGGTTTAGAGAAGATTTACAAGGATGTTGCCAGGGTTGGAGGGATTGAGCTATAGGGAGAGACTGAATAGGCTGGGCTATTTCCATCATGAGGCGCATGCGTAGGGTGAATAGCCAAGGTCTTTCCACCGGGGTGGAGAAGTCAAAAAATAGAGGGTACAGGTTTAAGATGGGAGGAGAAAGATTTAAAAGGGACCCAAGGGGCAACTTTTTCACGCAGAAGGCAGTGCATATATTGGATGAGCTGCCAGAGGAAGTGGTGGAGGTGGGTACAATTACAAAATTTAAAAGACATCTGGGTGGGTAGATAAATAGGAAGGGTTTAGAGGGATAAGGGCCAAATGCTAGCGAATGGGACTAGATTTATCTAGGATATCTGGTCGGCATAGACAAATTGGACCGTAGGGTCTGTATCCGTGCTGTACATCTCTATGATTCTATAGTTGTTAAATTTGCTGATGACACCAATATAGGTAATAAATTAACTTGTCAATAGAAGGTAAAAAGTCTGCAAAGGAAAATAGACAAGTTGAGTGATTGCCAAAGATTTGTCCAGATGGAGTGTAATGTGTTTAAATATGAACTTGTCCATTTTGGCACAGCAAGTAGAAAAATAATGTAGTATTCAAATAGAGAGTGATTGTAGATTTCACTGTGCAAATCAATCTGGATATCCTGATGTGAATAATAAAAAATAGTTATATTGGAGGTACAGCAAGTAATTACGAAGAAAAGTGGAAAGTTGTCGTTTATAGCAATAGGAATGGAATATAAAAGGTTGAGAAGTTTTCCTGCAGTTGTAAAGGACATTAGTAAGGCCACATCTGGAATACTGTGTACAGTTTTGGTCTCCGAAGTTGAAAAGAAACATAATTGCTTTTGAAGCTGATCTGAGAATGTGACGACTCATTCCTGAGAGAACGGCTTACCTTATAAAGAAAGGTTGAATAGGTTGAGTTTATAAAATGACTCTATTGGAACAGAACACATCTTGAGGTATTGATATAGTGGATAATGGGAGGATGTTTTCTCTTGTGGTGGGGCCATAGTGGACATAGTTTAAGAATAAGTCTCCCTTTTAAGATAGAAACAAACATAAGTTTTTCTCTCAAAAGGTCATTAGTCTGTGAATTATATTCGTCAGAACATAGTGGAGGCTAATACTTTGAATTTATTGAAGGTTGGACAAAATGGATTTTTGATAGACAAGGGAATCAAGTGTTGTATGATACAGGCAGCAAAATAGAGCCAAGACTACAATCAGATCAGCCAGTACTATGCTTGAAGGATCAAAAAGCCAACTTATGCTCTGAAGTACAATACTTATAAAGCTCAGGCTACAGCTCCAAATTTCAAGCTTCTTGTGCATCGCAGTCTCTCTGGAGGGCGTATTTGAAATTTCCATGACTACATCTTCCAAACTCAGCCATATCAATACAATTGCTCCCAAATTCTATTGAATTCTTCCCAGTTTTCCCAATCTCAACCAACAGCAGGAGACCCAAGTTGCTCTATGTTAGGCAAGAAGTCACGCAGGATCTCACTAGAGATTGAAGGCTCCTCTAGATTTGTGTGTTTCTGTCCCTGTCAAAGCGGGTCTATGAATGACAAAACACAATCAGGAGGAACAGGCCAGCACAATTTATTTTCTCCCATTCCCAACCCAAAGTCACTGAATCATAGCACTGATTTTAATTCCAGATTGTACATTACTGGGACTTGGTGGTCAACAATACATGTTAAAGTGGTAAGTAAATGCAACAACTGCACCAGTCACAATAGAAGTTTCCAAATTCCGATTTTAGCCAGGATATCAGTTATGGGTGTAGAATAAATGTGCTCAGGTCCTTGAAGGTAGAGACAGGGGGAAATGGCAATAAGTGAAGTCAGAAAGGATTACCAACTACAGGTGCCTGACCTTTGCTGGAAAAGGGCAGAATCCAATTTGCCTCTTGCTGAAGAACTTTGCAAGCACTAACAAGTGAGGAAAGAGAAACTTGGCATACCTGTAAATCCCATTATAAGACTATCAGCATCAAAGAACGTGATTACCTGAAGAATCTTGGTATGAAGGCCTTGTCCCATCTCTGTCCCACCATGGGTCAACAAAACAGATCCATCCTCATAAACATGGAGCAAAGCTCCAGCCTTCAAAGCAAAAAGATGCTTGAATTAATCTGTTCTCTCATATTTGCAGCTCTACAGGTCCAACATGTGTCATCAATCCATCCAGGGAAAAAGCCACATGCTGTTATTAACAACCCAGACAGGGTTATTCTAATAATCAGAATAACTAATTTAATAATCAAGTGGTTTTACTTGGGCCTCAGTGTAATTGCTCCAATTCTCTACCATGTGACTTCCAATTAACACTCTAGGAATCTCTGGGTTAGAAATCAGTTCAATTGGATGGAGGAATAAAGTCAGCACAGGGCTCAGTATAGTCACACGCTGTTTCAAGAAAATGATGCCCTTTTGCTAAACTAAATTATCGTTGTGATTGCTGCATGTTGAAAACAGCCACTCTCAGCGATGCTCATTATCAAGACAGTAACCAACTGATGCAATGCAGCACAAACGACCTTGGATTTTCAGGGTCATACTCGTTGAACACTTTCAGTTTAAATCATTTGCACCTACAATCATACACACATGTACATGTGAAGTGTACTCAGCACATGATCAAAAGCAATAGTTATACAATATATGTATAGAAAATGTAACCTACCTGGTTGAGCGCAGACTCAGAAAAGCCAACTCCCTTTCTCAGGGGGACAATAGAAATGCCCCTTTTCTTCCAGCGATTGAGATTGTTGAATTCCTCGACAGAAATCTTTCTATTGTGATAAGAAGCCATTTGTAGGCATTCATTCCAACAGGTCAGCTGATTACGTGAGTCAAATATGTGTTTGTAAGGTGTGCAGGCCTCCTGTCCTCTGTACAGATTTATCTCACGTACCTGAAAAGTTAAACAGTGCTTTTCAAATGATCCTATGGCTATCCAGAGAAACTCACTGCCTTACTGTGTAGAATGGCCTGAAGGGACAAAATTGTTGAGGATATTCGACAGCTGCATGACCTTGAATGAGTCCTGTGAACATACCTGTACCTGCTAAAGACGGCACCTGCAGCTTTTTTTTTCTGTGCCGGCCATCAGTTTTGTCTACTGTATTTGCTATTTTCTTGCTGGCTGTTTGTTACACTTCATAAGAGAGAGAGTTTTGTTCCAAGTTGTTGGACTTCACCTCAGACCGGAATCACGAATGGCGCCAGGAACAACCTTAGCCTCCAGACCAGCCATCGATCGAGAAGTCCCCGACAGCTAGAAGGGCTGTCGTTTTTTCTATTTACTTAATAAATGTTCCTTTATTTTTTGTCTTTTATTATTACTCAATAAATGTTCATATTTAAGTAAATTGCTGTTGTCGAGCCTTCTCTTAACAACATTTAACCAAATCTGAAAAGAACAACTTGGATGCATTCTGTGATCCAAGACATTTTTGGCGACAAGGCATGGGGTTCGGGAAAATGTATAAGAGAAGGGAAAAGCAATCTGATGCTTCAGAGACCTTCCGTATTCCAGGGCATAATGTAGCAGACTCTGGATTCGGGCCTGTAGGTTAATATGTTAGCACAATTCGGATCCCCGAAAGGATAGGGGATAGTTATAACTAGAGAAAAACAGATAACTAGAGGCCAGGTTTCTGCGTTGTGCAAGTGCACTGAACCTTGCAGAAGTGTTAACTCTTTGTGGTCTGGTTTGAATGCACCTTTATTTGTTGGTTGCTAAATGTCACCTTGTATGGTTTTTTTTGTTCCCTGGAGCTCGAGATCTGGGGATACTTTGAAGTTTTAATTGCATTTTGGAATGTATGGTGATTTGAAAGTGTATTGTGTGCCTGTATCTGTGTGGAGCATGTATGGCTAATGTAATGTCCTTTTAAGAAACCATCAGTGGTTTTGTAAAGCAAAAATTTGCAAAATGTTGATTCAAAAACTTGGTAAAATTTTACGTTTTGGAATTGGCTCCGTGTTGTGTTTGGACTTGGGTAAATTTTAATTCCAGAAATTTCCATGTTTGGAATTTCATTCTGTGGTCAGTTTGAACTTCTAAATACTGTTCTAACACAAGTGAATCTTTAATTCCTGATAATAAGATTGACTCATTGTTAATATCTAAGTGATAGGGAAATGGGAACGTTGAAACTGCAACACCCTGTGTACGAGGAGTTTCGGAAAGACAATTTTAACAAAGGGTTGGGCTTTTCCTTCCTTCAAGGAGGAGAAGAGACAGATGATGTAATTACGTGCAGGAGTTTACACCCCACCCCCTTTGTTAAATCCGTAGTAGATTAATACTAATTAATCTATTCTGATTGACATGGAATGGATGGAGCTTGTTTTTTTTTAGAAATTAGAGACACTGAAGGCTGAACCCATTTGCATAATTTCAATGTTGCAATACAGTGATGGTTTAGGCACCTTCAACCCATCAAGCTATCCATTAATAACACATTTCAGTTTTGGAGAAGTGCTGTGGAAATATTAATTGTAATGAGTGTCAGGAATCTCGAAACCACTGAGCCTGAGTACACTTACGCATATCAAAACAAAAACAGTATTAAAACTCACATACCCTGGTATTCTAAAACATTTAAATGGGATAGTCACCTGAAAATTTAAAGGTATTCTGGGAAATGATAAAGTGCATGCACGCAGTCTTAATGGTTTCAATACATAAAAATGGTTAGTGACTTAAAGGGAGTAAATTGAATATTGAATCTGAACAAATTTACACAGAGATATATAAAATATCTAGAATGAGTCATCAAGTAACTTTAAAAAAATGTGGGTCATTCCAGAGAAAGAACAAAGTATATTGTGCCTGAATCAAGCAGAAATGTTTGACTTCTGTTTTAAAATATTATGAGATTACGTTCCATTGACTATCAAATCTCTACAGGTCTCTGGAATTAGATATGGTGGTAATAGTTAAGTTGCAAAACTGGATGAGATGAAGTAAATTAGGGGTGGAGACTGGTGTCAGAAGACAAAAAATATTAGAATAATGGGTTGAATTGCCAATTCAGGTTAAAATGTTACAGTAGTGAAAAGAAGGTTTACATGAGAGCACGAAACTGATAGCTTTCTCTTGGTGATGTTTGTGTCCTTTGTCTTTCCTTTTTAAAAGAATTGAATTGGTGATCAAGCCACTACCTTAGGTATTGAGACCATACATGGCAAGATAAGTAAAACCTCATAAATCATTTGATAAGATCATTTGGGAGTCAAGAATGCGTGACATGGTCTTGGGATACCAATGTAATTGTGCAAAAGTGAATGGTAGCTCGAAAGTAACAAACATGAGACAAAGTCAAACATGCAGTAAAGAACGGGTCTCAGACATGTACACCTACTTGACAAAAGGATCAGTGTGGCTTGGAACAGCACAAAAATATAGTTTAAATGATACAACACTGACACGTAATCCATGGAGAAACTGACTTTAAAACAATGAAAGTAGTATTAGTGAAAGGGATATAAAAAGAATTACAATCAAAATATAAAGTGTGATTGGCCATTATGTTAAAGTGTTACAGAAATGAAAAAATATGGATTCTGGGAGGAGTAATAGTGTACTGACTGAAACGGCTCATAGGATGACGTACGGCTAAGCCATCTTGAGCATTTTTAGGTGAAACTGTAATGTATTAGGACAGTTAGTGTTTGTGAAAGAAGGCTGAGCTAAGACTCAGGTGGTGTAGAAGTCTGTGGTAAGGGAAATGTATGAAAAATAAAAGGTGGGAAGCATAAGTTGAAGGTAAACCTGATGAACATTAGAGCTGTATTGTTTGATACCATGTGCATTGTAGCTCAAAGGAGGTACCTGCATTTGGAGGTAGTTACCACTCAATGATACAATCATTCATAAAATTGGCAAGGAGGGAAACGTATTGAAGAAGTATCCTCAAGACGGATACAGATGAAGAGAGCTGGAGAAATTTTGAATCCATGTATGTTATTTTACTGTATTGGGTGAAATGATCTGTGGATAGGGAACTGGAGGATTTAAAAAAAACAACACAAATTAAGAAACGTGAATCTGGAAATATACTGAATTTTAGAGCATATTGTTTAAATAGATTAACTGAACAAAAAATGTAGACGATATTCTGGTCACCTCAGTCAGGTGGCACGAATTGTGGGTTCCATCATGGCCTTGACTGTAAATCAGGGATGGAATACGTATATTTAAGGGTTGGTCCTCAAAGACCACTGCAATTTGATGATACACCCTTATTGTTGTATTGTTTGTATTGATGCTAGTTATTTTCGTTGCAGATTTCATCTTCTAATGTAAGTTACACACACTTTTATACGTTCTTGCGTGGCTATCACTGATTTGCATCTGCAACAAGCACGTTCAAATATCATTGGGATGGATTGTATAGGATGGGCTGAAGGGCTAAAAGTGCTGATGATATTCGACAGCTGCATGGCCTTGAATGAGGCCTGTGAACATTCTTTTACATGCCAAAGACAGCACCTGCAGCTTGCTTTTTCTGTAGCTGTGTTTTCTGTACCAGCCATCAGTTTTGTCTGTTGTATTTGCTGTTTTCTGTGCTGGCTGATTGTTACACTGTAAAAGAGAGAGAGTTTTGTTCCAGCTTGTTGGACTTCGCCTTGGACCGAAATTGTAAACAGTGCCAGGAACAAGCTCAGCCTCCAGACCAGCCATTGATTGAGGGGTCCCCGACGGCCAGAAGGGCATGAGGCTTATTGTTTTTTCTATCTCTTTTTCATTCTTTTTATTAATTTCATAAAATTTCCTTTCTTTTTTCATCTTTTATTATTACTCAATAAATGTTCATATTTTAAAAATTGCTGTTGCCGAGCCTTCTCTTAACTACATTTAACCAAATCTGAGAAGAACCGTTTGGATACACTCTGTGATCCAAGACACTAACCAACCCGGCAGTAGACTTGCCCATTCATGTTACTGTTATGTTAGTGTATAACGAACAGATTCACTTATAAATTTCCAATACTCAATCAATTGTTCTTTCTTTTGAAAAAGAAATTAACCAGAGCAGGATATTGAAATCTTGTGAATATAATTAATAGTAAATTGAAAATAAAGGAAAATAGTGTTCAGAAACTCTGTAGTGGTTAGCTGCCCAATATCATAGTTGGCAACACTGGGATTTATTTACACTGCCCTTGTCTGGCATTAGTGGAGTGGATAAGAGCCTTAAAACAAGATCATCTTGAAAAGAACCAATCTACTGTGTCCAAAGTGACCATACTTTCATGTAAAGAGGACAGTCATTTTTAGTGGGAAATGATTGGAGCCTTTGTTGAGTGCACTTTGATCATGTCCGCAGATGATGGACTGAGGAAACCTATAAGTGTCAAATAATCATTGTGGCTTTGGTGGAGCATTACAAATATATGATTATTTGGGTTACTAACTAGAATACTAACTGTTAAAATCTAATGTTATTCCTAAAAATTATCATCTAATTTCATTAGGAATTTATCTTCATATATCAACCTTACGAAAGTAAAGTAGGGCACAGTATAGAAAGATGGTAAGGTAGGGCCATGACAAAATTATATTAAGTTATATAGATCCAACTCTCAGCAAAAAGACAAAACCTTGAGGCCATCTGTGACATTGTTTATCAAGGTAAAACTATAGGATTGAAATGTGCTATGAACCCAGTTGATGGTAATACTGGATACTTCAGATCCCAGTGTGGCTTGGGAGATCATCAATTTTAGTTTGGCAATTTGGAAATCAGTAGCTATTTATATCACATGAGGATTTCAACGTACTTTGATGACAAGAAAGAATGTAAAACAATTTGTATAAGACAATTTTGAAAGATCTTAAATAACGAAAATTCAACCCTTTTTGCTCAGCAATATCACTTGCTGACATGGAAACTCCATGAAGTATCACTGTTTACTTTCTTCCTCAACTGTCGAGGTTGATGGCGTTTCCTTTTGAACTTTCTGAACATTCACCCGACGTGGCACTCTTATTGTCTCTCCCCAAGGTACACAGGTTAATTTATCATTTTTACTAACTGGACTTTTAAGAAAAGCTCTGTCCGTTTGAACTTCTAAAAGAGTTTAAGACTTCTTTCTTTATAATAAATGCCAATGCAATTCTAGGTGACATAGCCTTGGAAGATTTTGATAAGAGAAATAGGTGTATGTGAAAAATATTGACCAAGATCTTCCAGTCTCTAAATAATCAGACACTGGACGTACAATCTAAGATATGCACTGGGCCCCTCAGAAGTCTTGATGCACTGACTCCATGGGAACGACCCAGGAAGTTTAAACTTCAACAGACAAGTTTCCTTTGTCCAGACACCCTCTGAAAATGTCTTTGACTCTGAGTTCTGATTCATTTACCAGGATAGTTATCCAGGAAACGTCAGAGAGAAAATTCTTGGTCTAACTCCTGGCTATCTACACACTGGCCCCATGACATTTTCACCCCTGCCTCTGAGCCCCTCATTACCTACAACCCACTGATGTGACCCCCACCACCCAACTTCCCCTGGCCAATTTGATCTAAATATCCTCTACTGCCTGACCCCCTTCATTCCCCACCAAACTTGACCTTACCAGCTCCCACTGCTTGACGTCATCCCGTGATGCCCCCCAGTTCAAACTGACTATCCCTGATCCTTCCATCCAACACCCCACGCAACCTGATTCACTATTACTGACTGATTACCATCTGACAGGCTCATAGCACACACCTCATCCCTTTATCAATCCCAGACTCCCCTTGACCCAAACAGACAACCCTCCCAAACAACAACCCACTCTTCCTGCCTGCCACCCTAACCACTTACCTGACCCACCTACACATTCACCAATACATACACTAACTCATTAGTACACTGTTTTTTGGACTGGAGGTATGTGTCCAGTGGTGTGCTGGAAGGATTAATGCTGGGTCCACTGAATGAGTAAATGAATGAAAGAAATATGGGAGGCGATGGTGTAGTGGTATTATCACTGGCCTGTTAATCCAGATACCCAGATAACATTCTGGGGATCCGGGTTCGAATCCCACTACAGCAGATGGTGGAATTTGAATTCAATAAAATATCTGTAATTAAGAGTCTAATGATGACTATGAATCCATTGCTGATTGTTGGAAACCCTATCTGATTCACTAATGTCCTTTAAGGAAGGAAACTGCCATCCTTACCTGGTCTGGCCTACGTGTGACTCCAGACCCACAGCAATGTGGTTGACTCTGAACTGCCCTCTGAGCAATTAGGTATGGGCAATAAATGCTGCCGAGCCAGCAACACCGTCATCTCATGAATGAATAAAGAAAAGAAAATGAATGAATAGCCTTTATTGTCACATGCACTCAAATGAGTGCAGTGAAACGTTTGTAATGTACTGTCAGTGCCATCGAAGGTACAGAGTACCTAGATACAGGATATTTAAGTATTTGTTACAGACTTGAGAGAGTCATAAATAAAAGTTCAGTATGTGAATAAAGGATAAAGTAGCTTTTTTAAAAAAAGTACTCGCTAAAGAGGAAGGGTTAATAAGTTTGCAGATGACACCTAAATTGGTGGTGCAGGGTAGGGAAGTCCAGAAATGGAGAGTATAGTTTTGAGGTGAGAGGGGAAAGATTTAAAAGGGACTTAAGGGGCAACTTTTTCATGCAGAGGGTGGTGCATGTATGGAATGAGCTGCCAGAGGAAGTGGTGGAGACTGGTACAATTAGAACATTTAAAAGGCATGTAGATGGGTAAATGAATAGGAAAGCTTTGGAGGGATAAGGGTGAAATGCTGGCAAATGGGACTAGATTAAATTAGGATATCTGTTTGGCATGGATAAGTTGGACCGAAGGGTCTGTTTTCCATAGTGTATATCTCTATGACATGATGACACAGAAAAACTGTTTACATTTCTCAAAGCTTCTCAGTGTGTTTGTGAAAACTCAGTAGGATACATCAGCCTGTGCTGTAAAAAGGGGGCACAGCCTGTATTGCCAAAATGATCCAGCCTGACCAGAAAGCAGTTTGATTTTCAGGTACACTGCTCATATCTGAAGAAGATCCAACAGAAATCTGGAGCACAGTCTAGCTTCAAAGATGTAGAAGCTGTGTAAAAATAGTAATCTAACAGTGATTGCTCTTCCTTGGAAGATTTGGACCTTATGTAGTGGTAAGATGCCTGAATGAAAGACAACTAATTGGTCAGGGAAAGTATCCTCACACAAAGGGCTGGAAAAATGCTTAGGGTAAAGAAAAGGTGAATTGATAACAGCTATGATAAAAATATGCCCTGACTTTGTCTTTGAGAGGTAGAGAGACTATTTAGAGTCAAAACAAACAGGACAAGATACAAAACAGTGGGAGAAGCCTGAAGACCAAAAGCTCAAAGCTGTAAGAGAAACCATTGTGTGCTTTGCCAATCAGATCTTGGTATGGGTATACAATCCAAGTTAAATTATAAAACATGACCAGTGTAGATTTATTGACATACTGACAGCCTAACTCTGTCCCTCAAGCTTGCAAGCTACTACAGAAATCCTGTTTTTCACTTCGCAGCTCTTCTGATGAATGCAAATATGGATGGGTCCTTGGAGTCACAGAGGCTAGTGAATCCCTTTAACCAGACTGGGTAGTCATTTAGACAAGCGCACTTCATCATTCACTCAACCAAAAGCAAAAATGACTTTGATTGAAAGATGAATTGAACAACCTGCTTTTGTCCATTTTGTGGTGAATTCCACCAGTAGTTGAAGAGAGAATATAGCAGTACATGGTGGGTGTAAGGGACACTGGGATGGTACATACGGGGAGACAAACTTCCTTTCAATAAATTACCTTTTCAGCTGAAAGTCCACATTTAGTAGCCACGTCTGTTATCCAGCTTTCAGTAATAGCAATTGCCTGTGGCTGTCCAAATCCACGAAATGCAGTGTTGGATGGTAAATTAGTCTTGCAAACAAAGCCAGTCAGGCAGACATGTGGAATGTAGTAGCCACTGTCCAGGTTTGAGACTATTTCCTGAATAACCTGTCACCAAAAAACCAACACAACTGTCATGATCCTGCTCTCTATATTTATTCAATATTGTCCTTTTTTCCATTAATTATTGTCAGATGCTCCTAACAGCAAATAAGTTAGATATCAGTAGGCAGTATTCTCAAATAATACATTTAAATAGTACCGTATCACATCCTCGTGACTCTTCAATGCCTCAGAGCTCAATGAGTGGTCTTGAAGAGCAGATGCTCCCCTTTGGGCAAATACAACAGTAAATGAAATGAATGACCAGGTAATCTGTTACTCATGTTGCTTGTGGGAGGAATGCTGGTACAGGACAGTAGGGACAATGCCTCTTGCCCTCCAATGAAAAATGCCTTGGGATCTTCAACATCCACCCAATTGTATAGATAAGGCCTCAGTTTAATGTCTTTTCTACAAGCCAGCACTTCTGACATTGTAGTATTACCTCAGTTCTGCACTGGAGTTTCAGCTTGATTTTGTGTTGATATGAGGGTTGTATTCACAACTTTTGCTCCTACATCAATATAATTATATTCAAATACTTGTTCGATAGGTCATCAAGCATCTATTCTAATCCCATTTTCCAGCACTTGGCCCATAGTTTTGGATACTGTGGCATTTCAAATGCTCATTTAGATAGTCCTTAAACCTCTTGAGGGTTCCTGCCTCTCCCACTCTTTCAGGCAATGAGTTTAGATACCCATCATCATCCAGATGAAAAATTCCTCAAATGCCCTCTAAACCTCCTGCTCCTTATTTTAAAACTGTATCCCCTGGTTACTGATCCCTGTACCTAAGGGGAAACATTTCTCCCTATCCACTCCATCTACGCTCTCATAACTTTGTATACATATCCTCATTCAGCGAGCCACATTTTATCTTCTTTTCTCAGAGTCTTGACAATATTGACTGCTGATGTCACTGTTAATTCACCATGTCGTTAACAGAGGCCTGCTCAGGATACTGTAAAAATTGATAAATGGAAATATCGAGTAGGTTCCTGCCTGCTTGCAGTAGGTACTCTGACACTGTGAAAACATGGCACTTAATATGTTAATGGGCAGGAATGCATTGGGAACAGGTAATGATGCATAACCATTTCAACCATTCATCAGGGGTGCAAGTTTAAAATTGACCCTTACAGAACTTAACAGTATACAGGAGACCATCCAACCCATCTCCCCTGTGTTCTCTGAAAAAGTCAATATCCTTTGCCATGTGCCATGTCCATGAGAAATTAAGGATATTATAATTTGTTTAAGAACTATACATTCCTTAGTATTTAAACATTGACTTGGCTGGGCTTTTAAACTGGCTACTGTAGATCACATGATCTACAAACTGGATACAGTTCAGGAAAATTCCAACAATAAAACTTACAAGGACAATGCTAAACAGATCAACCTGGTGAAATTTTACACAGTGCGTAGGTGTACCATAGAACAGCAAAGCAAAGAGAGCATAGGCAGTTAGTCTTCAATTTTAGGCAGATAACTAAAGAGATCTATTGAAACTCATTATGCCTACAAATGTGCTAAAAACTATCCATCTATCTCCTCAAGTGTACAATGGATTTTGACCAGAGGAATAGATACTCACATGATAAATTATTTGTCAATAAATAATGTTGTATGACCAAAACTCCCCTGCATTTTGAAGAGTTTTAATTATACTTTCCTAAGTTCTTGAACCATCTGTTTCCACCAACATAGGAAGCATAGGCATCTGGTTAACAGCTAGGACAGCCTGAAAATTTATTCAAAACCTGGTTAGTAAGACTCTTTGACTTGCTTGAAATAGGCTGGTTCCTTGTTTATAAGCGTCACTCTATTCCATCATCTCTAACTTTGAATACGCTAGGTTTAAATTTAAGGGAACTTGCTGCAAGTCATGTTTATACGAAAAGGTAATTTGGTAATCACAACAAAGCCTTTTGAAATCAATGCACTCTATTTACAGATGGAAGGGGAGGAAATGTAGGAGTTTAGACTATATCTCTCTCCCCTGTCCATAACAGCCTAAACTTCCCCATTCAGCCCATCAAACCTGGGCTTGTCAATTGCTCATCCCCCGATATTGAACACTTTGGAACTCACCATTAAAGAAAAATCCACTTTGTTGCCTCCATTGGCGTAACAGGTCACTTCTGCAGCAATTATTCTGCCATCAGTCATGTAACCGATCTGCATTTCAAATATCACAATTTATGCAGCACATTTCACAATCTCAGGACCAATGGTTCACAGATAATTAACTACTTTTGAATTGCTGTCATTCTTGGACTGACCAAAACCTTTCACTCACAGGATATCTTCTCTCTTCTTGTGGAGGACAATGCAATCTGTCAATGCTAGAAAGATCAGTCTGAACAACTCAATTGTGAATCCAGTAACAACTGATATAAGGTTATATGGATTATATCAGGATAACAGGTTATTTCACCCAGAATTGACTTCGCCCAATCCATGGGCAGGATCTTGTGAGTTTCGCAGGTGTCTTGCGTGCAGCCTGAAAAAGTGCCAGGACATCCACACTTGCTTTTGGAAGGATTGTTCACCAGATCCTCTGCTCATCAGGCACTTAAGACGACTCAGCAGGATAACCTTGGGTTACAATGTCTTTACCAGCTGGAGCTGCCAGACAGAAGCCGGCAGCTTTAGCACTCGGCAGTGACTTGGCAGTGGTGCTGCTGATGAAGCAGCATTTTGGTGACTACAGTGTTCTCAAGCCACTCTCGATTTCTTCAATTCTGCATGAGAGAGACTCAGCCTGTCCTTGAATGTTGCTAAAACAAAATTCATATCAATCCAGACCACTTCCCATATATGTTGAAGGAGACATGCTGGAATACATTGAGCATTTCCCAGACTTTGGCAACCACATCTCTCAAAAGGTAACCACTGTTATGTTGATCCAACACTCGATCAACTGTGTCAATTCTGCCTTCAACAAACTATACAGCAGCAAGTGCTTCACAACAAAAACCTCTGCAAATTAACAAAAGTCCTAGTGTACAGAGTCTCAACATTGCAGATAGAGGTCATTTGGTTAGGAGGTCAGAATCAAATCTTGGTCTTTGGCGCTGTGAGGCAGCAGTGCTAACCACTGTGCCACCGTGCTGCCCTATCACACACTCAAGCTAGACCACTGTTTGTGATGCAGAGTGATGCCAACAGCACAGGTTCAAATCGCATGTTGGCTGAGGTCACCATGAAGGACCTACCTTCCCAATCTCGCCCCTCATCTAAAGTCTGGTGACCCCTCAGGTTAAACTTGCCACCAATTAATTCTCTTTGATGAGAGAGTAGCCCATGGTTCTTGGATACTATGGAGACTTTCATTTCACTCTTTTACTGCAGTGAGACCTGGACTGAATATCACTGACACAAGAGTGCTGGAAAAATTCATCAGTGGTGACTTCACCACAAGATCCAGATTAAACAGGAGGATCAGTGAACAAAAGCTAATGTCCGTCTTGAAGCCAGCTCCACAAGATTTCAGGCAAAACTACAAAATCAACTTCAATCAACTGGACACTGTATCTGGATGTCAAGACTATTTCTTCCACTTGGTCCCATTTGCTAACTCTCAAATGGCCAAAGTTCCAAGGAGGACAAAGAATATTCTTCAAAGACATCTGAAGCTCTGAATGAAGTGAGGCAGCAGTGACATTCATGACTGCAGAGAGCTTGCTAACAATTGTTCTAAATGACAAAAAATTGTCCATCATGCTGGATTGCATTTTAAGTTAAATCCTAATAATGAGGCAGAGCAAATGTCAAATTGATATCAAATTAATAGCCAATGGAGAAGAAGTTAGCCACATTGCTCTTGTCCATTTTACGGTGTGGACTTATGTGGGCTCCGGTTTCCACTGAGTGAGAAGCTATAGAGCAGGGGAATGGGACAATCAGCTGTTTAATAGCGCCCACTGAACTGATACTTGGCGAGTACAAAATTAGTTTGATATTTGGATACACATTGGGTGGCACAGTTGCTCAGTTGTTAGCACTGCTGCCTTACAGTGCCAGGGACCCAGGTTCCATTCCAGCTTTGGATGACTGTCTGTGTGGAAACTTAGAATCTGTAGAGTGTGGGAGCAGGCTATTCAGCCCACTGAGTCTGCACTGAACCTCCAAAAAGCTCTCCACCCATACCCGTACCCCCTACCTTATCCCTATAACCTTGAATTTCCCATGGCTAATTCAACTTGCCTGCACATTTTTAGACTGTGGGAGGAAACCAGAGCACACAGAAGAAACATACACAGATACAGTGCAAACTCCACACAGACAGTCACCCGAGGTTGAGGTTTGTACTTTTTCCCCGTGTCTACATGGGTTTCTGCCAGGTGCTCCGTTTTCCTCCCACAGTCCAAAAATGTGCACGTTAGGTGGAAAAGTCATGCTAAACTCCCCCACAGCATCAAGGGATATGCAGGCTAGGTGGATTAGCCTTGGTAAATGTCGGGCTATGGGGATAGGATGGAGGAGTGGGTCTAGGTGGCATGTTTTTCGCGGGTCGGTGCTGGACTCGAGGGACCAAATGGCCTCTTTCCACGCTATAGGGATTCAGTGATTCTATTCTATGATATAAATTCTTGATTATTACATTGATGTGTCTGAAAGACATCCTGCCCCGTCAGCTCAGAGATCAACCCATTGTGAAATGGTCTGTTCAGTCACGTGAAGATCCATGATGGAAACAGACGACCAAGTATGCATCATCCTCAAACTGAGGGACAGCTGAAGACAAGGAAGATAATTCTAGGACTTAGGAAATGTGACAGCCAATTTGGGCACAGTAAGCTTCACAAGCAACGATATGATAATGATCAGATAAACATTAGCAGCATCAGTTATGGAATAAATATTGACCAGAAAACAAGGGAAAACCCCTCTGCTCTTCTTTAAAATAGTGTTTTGGGACTTTCAGATTAACCTGAGAATAGAAGGGTTTAACATCTCAACTTAAAGACACTATTTCAGACAGTGCATCATTCCCTCAATATTTAACTGAAAGTGTTAGCCTGAGTCATGAGGCTGTATCAGTTTTGTATTTTATTTTTCTCTCTTTTTGCAGGAATTCCATCAGAAATCTTGTTGAAAAAAATCATTTTCCAGACAAGTCGTATAGTCATCAAGGAGGTGTACAGTAAGCTCCAGTCATTTGTGAATTTGTTTATTCTGAGCACTGTTTTGCCAATTGCAGTTTCGTTGTTCGCTTCTCCATGATGCTGGGAGGCAAAATCATATGAGAAAATGTCCAGAACAATAAAGACAACATAAAATAAAATAAACTTAAATCACCCTATAAAAGAAAGAGTTTATGTATCGATGTACTGATGATGCACCATGCTGTATTTCTATGTCTGCAAGGTATAGATTCGTCTACTCCCATTTTATGGACTGTAATAATGTGATTTACCAACTTCAGGGTATGGTAAAGTTCAGGGTCACACATTTTCAATTTTCTTAATTTATTGCAATATTTTTCCACTGAAGAATGTTTATATTTAGAAAATATCATTTCTAATATAATCATTAATTTCAGTGCATTTTAGCTTTGTGTGTGTGCTGTAGATATTAAAAGTTTGCTTGACTGAAACTTATTCCAGTGACTTCTAATATAAATCATGTATGCAATTCGTGATTTCACCATTTATGTATTCCCAAAGAACATCACATCACACAACCAGTGGGAATCTACTGTACATCCAAACTGATTTTGTACTCGCTCAGTACCTGCTTACTGGGTACTATTTGTCCCCTCCCTTGTTTACAATTTCCTACTCAGCACAAAGCTGTGTCCACAGAGCTCGGCACCACGAAATGAGCAAGAGCAAATGCCTAACTTTCTTTTCTATTGGTATTCAATTGCCATTTGCACTGTTGCTTTAGGTGAATTTACATCTCTTTTTCTGAGCTTTCGTGACACTCTCAATGACAGCGTGATATAGATTGTCTCCGTGCATATGCAACATAACACTTGGTATTTACAATTTAGGCAGTTTGTTAGCTTATGTCTAACCTTGTATCTGCCAAGGACAGGATGGCGACCTCCGCTGATTAGCATGTCCTCTCCTCTCTCTAAAATGCAACGTACTGAACGGCCTGTCCTGCAACATAGAGAGAGCCATCTTACATCAGTCACTCACCTGTGACTCTCAGAGCAAATGTTACACAGGCCTTTAATATCTACTCTACTTATTTTTACCTGATTTCTCTCTCTTTGTTACCACTCTGACTAAAGTTCTACAGTTAATATACACTGTTAGAGCTGATTACTAGGAGTACCAGCAACTTTATCCTATGGACACTAGTCCATTAAGTCTTATGGTTTGTTCCGTTGAAGAAAGGATGGTTCAAACTCAGTCATTAAACCCACTATGTAACCTCTACATGACCATCCCCATTAGAGATGCAGGGCAGTTCTGAAGACCATTCTCAAGGGTTAAGTGTACATTGAAGGTGGAGAACCTCCATGATCTGGTGTAAGGCAGCCACATGGCAGGCTCAGGACAAAATGTAGAACATATAGAGTCAGGGGTCAAATGGCTGCATGGATTATTAATTGGACATACCATGGGTAAAGAGTAGTTATCTATATTAGAGGAAGGTAGAAAGTGGTCTTCCACGGACTTGAGCCCATGTCCCTGAGATGAAAGGTGAAGTTCTGACTGTGTGCATCAGCGAGACCTCCTGCAAAACCAACGTCCTACACTTAAAAAAAAAAGTATTGAAGAAACTCAATAGTTCTGGCAGCATCTGTGGAGAGAGAACCAGTGTTAAAATTTCAAGTTATGATATGACTCTCCCTCAGAACTGAAAGGGACTGGAAAACTGTGTTTAGTTTGCAGAAAAAAAGTCAAGACATGAACTCTATTTCCCTTTCCACAGATGCTGCCAGGCCTGCTGATTTTCTCAAGCTTTAATTTCAAAATTCCAGCATTTGCAGTATTTTGTTTTTATTACTCTATTTTAAAAACAACTCCACACACTTACTTGTGAGCTGCCACGGCTGCAATTGCTGCTATTCTGGAGGCTTTTACTATCTTTCCACCAAAGGCACCACCAATCCTTTTGACGCGGACCGTGACTCGATTGGATGGAATCCCCAGTGTATCTGCAACTACTGTCTAATCAGAAAAGCAAAATTTATCAACTGTTCCACAAATCGTATTTCTCCAGGGATCCAATCCATTAATGCTCAATTTGAGTGGGAAAGCAGCCTCATAGACAAGAGGGTTGCCAACTCCACTCCATCTAGACAAAAGCCTTTTCAGCCCCATCTCTAATATATTTACAAGTAACGAATGAAAATTTTCAAAGAACATTCAAAATAGACACATTACTTTTCAAAAAAAACAAAGTTGCTGGAAAAGCTCAGCAGGTCTGGCAGCATCTGTGAAGGAAAAAGCAGAGTTAATGTTTCAGGTCCGGTGACCCTTCCTCAGTTCTGCCAGACCTGCTGAGCTTTTCCAGTAATTTTGTTTTTGTTCCTGATTTACAGCATCCATACTTCTTTCGGTTTTTATTTACATTATCTTATTCCAGAGTTTCTTGCAGCAGTCTCCAATTCCCATTATCTTCAGAAGAATCCTGAAGAGTTAGGAACCCTAGCAAGCAGTTGGGTGCAAAAGCAAGCAAACATGCTTTTATTGTGGAGTTTTCTGCCTACATCTAAGAGTTTGGGTACAAGACAGAACAGCCAAGGAAAAGACAATGTTCAGAATTGTCTTCAGGCTCAGGATTCCTTACAACACAGTTAATTACACATTAAAGTCTAAATATTACTATGCATAATATTCAGAGACAACAGACTTTAATGTAACTATTACAATTTTGAAAGTCCATTTTCTCTTTGTGCTTTCATTTATCTTGCTGACTCCGCCCACAGTTTGCTATTTATGCACAGTGAAGAGTAGCTCCGTGACATCATTGCAAGGTTGCTCCAAGGTACTAAAGTCCCTACACAACAAACATGGCTAATTTCAAAATGCTTGTACTGATGTTCTTACCAAAGCAGCACATTGATAACCTACGTAATCTGGCTATTTAGCCTTTGAAGGCAACCATCTATGGATACAGTCACGGGCACAAGGGGAATCTCAAACAGGGTAGTTCCAATGCAAGCCTAAGGTTTCTTTGTGAGGCCACACATCAATCCTGTTTTTTCTGATACAAAAAAATCTAAAAACTGAAATGTAGAAACCTCATTTTGCTGGGCCTATTGTGGCCCTTAATCCAGATCCTGGAAAATTTTAGCTTAATATCAAGGAAATCAGCACTGTTCCTCCACTCAGGCCGTAGGATGAAAACATAGTTCTTTATATGAGGTTAACCCAAGGGAACCCTGAAACCAGATTCCAAACCAGAGTCAGTAGCCTCAGGAGAGTGAGGAACAAAGGGAGAGGGAAATCAAGCTACAGCAGGGTTAAACCTAAAATGGAATTCCAAAATTTGGTGATCACAATGATTTGTGTACAAAAACTAAGCAAACATTTTACAAACAGCAGTCAAGCATTGACCTAACTGTAACCAAACTGGATCCTGATCCATTTCGGGCAAGTTTTGCTTGTGCAGCTCAATCAAACTGCTGCTCCTTCTTCCATTCCCTATTGTCAATATTCCTTCCCTTCTTGCTAAGATAGAACTACCTTGGTTGTAGAGGTAACACTTCACAACCTGATCCAAATGGCTGATCTCAATGTACACATGGAAATCTGAGCAGCAATTGGCCATGGTATGGGAAGGTGGTGATCTGTCCTGACCTTGACCTCATCCTGTCATCCTTACTTGCATCTATTGTCTAAGACAGACACCTAAAGATGTGGTAAGAGAAGACAAGGTGATCAGTCAGCAGTGCCTAGAGGAGCATATGAGAGAAAGGCCCACAGAAAGTCAGTAAAGATAAAGCTAGATCCATTGGAGCTGTTTTGGGAGTAATCTTAATTTTTGCTTTCAAGTCACAGATGTGATTTATTTTCCATTTCAGAGATGTGCCTGCAGGTTGACCAAGATTAGGAACTGGAAAAGAATATTTGACATTGAGGAGGGTTAGCAAAAGAATAAAAGGAATTGGGGTGGTGCTGATAATAATGAATGGGATCAATGTATCAGTGAGACAGGATCTCTGATTGGAAGAACAGGATGTAGGTTCTGAAATAAAAACAGAAAACTCTGGGGAAATTCAGTAGGTTTGGTAGCGCCTGCACAAAGAGAAACAGAAATAATGTTTCAAGTTCTTCTTCAGAACTGGAAAATGGTGTCTTTTTTATACGATTGATAGAGGGCAAGGAGGATCAAGGGGAACAGATAAATAAAGTGTGATGTGAGCTACACTCCAACATCACACCACAGAAGCTGTATTGCTCTTTTGAACTCAAATGACACTCCACTTGGACAACCAGAATAGCTGAAGAAATCCTCCCTGATAATGTACATAGACCAAGAAATGTAGAACCTAGGAGCAGAAATAGGCCATTCAATAGGGTCATGGCTGATCCTCTATCTCAATGTCATGCTCCCAGAGACACAGACAGGCTCAGAGCAGGAAAATCTAGTGAGGCCAGCTATCACCGACACCACGTCAGTCAGGAAGGCCAAAACTATGAAGCCAACTAAGAAGAACAGTCCCAGTGTTCAGTGGCCAAACAGACCCTGGAGGCAGCAGCAGCCAGCAAGAAGAATGACTATTGGCACTCAAAATGACACTGCAATGTGGCCAGGAACAAGCAAAAGAGCCTGCAAGCAATTCAGCGCCAGCGACCAAAGGGATCTTGGGCAACAGTCCTCTTCTGAGATCCACTCTCAGAGGTTCCACAACAGGAGATACCATAAATTGAAGGCTTTTGTTAATTTTGTTTGATTTTGTTTTAAACAGTTATTTGATTTACCAATATGGAACTTAGCCATTTAAAGTGAAGTATTTCAACTTAGAGAGCTAGAGTATATTTTTAACTTTTTTCTCCTGAGAAAGGCCCTGTGAAACCCAATCATCTTCACTTTTAACATTGATGGCTAAGAGAATCATTGCTTCACTTCTAGTCTTTTAATGTCAAGTCACAATGTTTAGAAATATAACACTAAATTTAAGTGAGGACATCCTGTACAACTTCACTTAAAGGGTTAGATGTAAAGATGAAGGAGTGGTGTAGGATAATGGATAAATCCTTTATGTATGCGTTTTATATATTTATATTAAAACAATGAATAGCATACTATTGACATGTAGGCTGCTGTAGGTACACACATGGTCCTACAACCGAGCTTGCAGAGTTCTACAAATGTATTCTCTAAAATTATTTATGCATATACAGTGTAAATAGATGGTTATTCATCTGTAAAATTACAGACGTGCCTCTCTCTACAGTCTCAGTATCACCTCACTCCAATATCCAATGTTTAAGATGATATGATTCTTGGAAGCACATTTCAATGAATCATCAACTTCAAAGCAGGAAAGCAAAGAGGAAGGAGGCTAGGAGAGGAACAGTCACATTCCCTCCGGCAGCAGTACCACAACTAGCAGAAGTGGGTCTGTCACTTAATAAATTGTTAGAAACAAACTGTCATGCAGCCATGAGGAGCAAGCAGCAGTGAGTGTGTCAAGCAGCAGTGAATGTCTTATGCAGCCATGAGTTTGGCTGCCTAGATAGATTGAATTGTACTGACTTACCTGGGCAAACGTTGGATACTGCGTTGAGCAAACGATTTCAATTTCTCCATCCTCACTTTTGGGAATGACGAGGACACTATGAGTTTCCATGTAGAAATGCTCTTGTCCTCCAATGTGGATTTCTCCTATAAATAAAAATGCTGGAACTGAATTTTAAAGATGTTTACACAGTGACTTAGAAAATCACATACAGTCCACTGTCCAAATAAATGCGGGGAAACACAGTCACAGGCCATTGTCCAATTTCTTATTACCACAGAAACATAGAAAATAGGAGCAGGAGTAGGCCATTCAGCCCTTCAAGCCTGCTCCCCATTCATTATAATCATGACTGATCATTCAACTCAATAGCCTGTTTATGCTTTCCCCATACCCTTTAGAACTAACTATGGGGAATGACAGAATTAGATCATTCTCCAATTACTGTGCAATTACTCTGCTTCTGCAAATTTGACAGGGCAAAATCACGTCTGAGAGTTTTGATTGAGTCTTTTCAAGAAGATGACTAGATGTGCGGATAAGGGTAATGCAGTCGATATAATCATGGAATTTGGCAAGACCTTTGACAAGATCTGACATGGGAGGCTGATCAGGAAGCTAACAGCCCCATAGCGTGCAGGGTGATTCGGCTAATTGGATCCAAATTGGCTTAGTGACAAGAGACAGAGGGTGAGCTTGAAGATTGTTGTGACTGAAAGCCTGTGTCTTGTAGCGATATGCAGGGTTCAGTGCTGGGTCACTTATTGTTTGTAGCATACACAAGTGATCTAAACATGAATGTGGGAGGTTTGATCAGTATGTTCACAGATGACACAAAAATTGGCAGTGGTAAATAGCATGGAGGAAAGCCTTAGACTATAGGATGATATAGATGAACTGGTTAAATCGACTGAACAGTGCCAAATGGAAATTGACCCTGAAAAATGTAAGGTTCTGCATTTTGTAACTACTAAAAATGCAAGGAAGTACATGTCCACAGATCCTTAAAGCTAACAGGACAGGTAGATAAGCTTTTTAAGAAGGCATACAGGATATTTGACTTTATTCGACAAGATATTTAATGCAAGGACAGGGAGATTGTGATGGAGCTGTGTAAGTCATTAGGTAGGCCACAGCAGGAGTACTATGTGCAGTTCAAAAGAAAGGATGTGATTATACTTGACAGTGCAGAAGAGATTCACCTGGACATTGCCTGGGCTGAAGCAATTCAGCTATGAAGAGAGACTAGATAGGCTGGGGTTGCTTTTCTTGGAGCAGAGATGGCTGAGGAGTACGCAACTGAGGTGTACAAAATTATGAGGGGTACAGATTGGGTAGCTAGGAAGAAACTTTTTCTTAGTAGAGGGATTAATAACCAAGAACACAGATTTAAGTGCAGGAGATTTAGATGAATTTTAGGATAGGTTTTTCACACAGATTGCGGGAGGCCTGAATCTGGAACATACTGCCTGAAAGAGTAGTCGAGGTGGGAACCATCATAAAATATAAGAAACATTTAGATGATCATTTTAAGCATACAAGGCTGCAGGCCACATGCTGGGAAATGGAACTAGAGTAGGTAGATGCTTGACGATTCGCAGGGCATGATGGGCCAAATGGTTTCTTTCCATGCTATAAAAACTCTATGACTCAATGGGTCTAATTATCTTCATGACTGAAGCCAATTGAGATTAGAGCACAGATACAAGATTTCTATGGACTAGAATATTTTGGAATATATTGCTGTTCCTGCCACAGCCTTGAACTCCCAAAAGGAAATATGACCACTCAATTGAAAACACAGCCAGTGAACCTCTGCATAAATGCAAATGAAAACATTCTTTATTTTATCACTGCAAAACTGTGCAAAAGTTAAAATGCTGGCCACGATTTTAGTTAATAATCCATGAAGAAACAATCTACCAAACTCTGATCTTTTACTGTACCTTCTAGTTGTTGGTCAGCTTTTTCAAATGCTGCATCAACATCTCCATTCTCCAGTTTGAAGTGGTCATAAAAGGACTTATGCTGAATTGCATCCTATACAGGTGTCAAAATCATCGGTATTTTATTAACCTCAATTACAATTAAATACAATCTGAATACCACAGAGATGGCATCAAAACAGTCCATGAATCACTGTTCTTCATCAAATAGAAATAACATTGACCCCCTGCACCCCCACCCCTCCTCATACCTTTGATTCTTCCAAAGGAGAAACCACTTATCATTTTAGCTCAATTCCCTGGTTTGACTCTTTTGACACATCCACTGCGTTCCCTCATCATGCCACAAACTCTCCAGGGTGTTCCTTCATCTCAATCCCTCCAAACATACCACCATGTTCTCTTGCCTGCTCCTGTCAAAACCTCTCACTCTTGTTCCCTTGCTCCACTCCATCCAAAAATCCACCGTGTTGTCTCATAGAGTCATACAGCAGGGAAACGCACCCTTTGGTCCAACTAGTCCTTGCAAACCATGTTGCCAAACTAAGCTAGTCCCACTCGCCTGCACTTGGCCTATATCCTGTCTCGCACACTCCCCAGAAATATAAAGCCCTTGCCTCAGTGTCACTGGGTCAAAATCCTGCAACTCCCTCCCAAGTTGCATTACAGATCACCTACATCAAATGGACTGCAACTGTTGAAGAAGGCAGCTCACCACCACCTTTAGACTACTAAAGATGGGCAATAAATGCTGGTCCAGCCAGTGAAGCCCACATTCACTGAATGAATTAAAGAAGATCTTCCTCCCAACCTTCCATTGTATTTCTTCACATCTTGTACTATGTAGTGTCGCTGGCCTAGTAATTCTGAGGACCAGGCTGATATTCTAGAGTCATAAGTTCAAATTCCACCACGGTAGCTGATGGAATATAAATACAGTTAATAAATCTAGAATATAAAGGTAGTCCCAAGAATGGTGACCATTACACTATCAACAGATGTTGTAAAAGGGTATCTGGTTCGTCTCTAAAGTTCTGCAGGGAAGAAAATCTACCATCTTTACTCATTATGGGCTACATGCAACTCCACAACCCATAGCAATACACTGTTTCTTGACTGCCTTCTGAAAAAGTCTAGCAAGCAACTCAGTTCAAGAACATTTACGGATGGACAACAGATGCTGCCAGCCTTGCCAGCAATGCCCACATGCCCATAGAAAAAAGTATAAACTCCTTCAAACCTTCCACTGCATTCACCCTCCTTACTTCCAGTGTTCCCTGTCTCCACTCCTTGAAACCTCCCACTGTGTTCCCTCACCTCACTCCCGCCAAACCACCCAGTGTGCTCCCCAGCCCCATTCCTTCCAAAACCTCTCAATGTACTCTCCCCAAAACAGGCTCTCCTAATGCCAAACTCTTGACACCTCCACTCCACTAACCTTCACTTGTACACGCCTCTCAGACACATGCCCACTTTTCACACATTTTTCATTTACACATTTCCCAATACAGTTCACATTCTCTCTGTCAGGTAAAGAATAGCAGGCTAGCTTATAATTAAGGGTTTGGGTGGTTCATATAAAGAATAACAGAAATTCAGGAGTGAATTGTAGGTTGAAATCTAACTGTGAGAGTCCAGTCTTTTTTTGAAGATAGAATGACAGGTACCAATAAATGAGTTACAGATCGAAGTCAAATTGAGAGATTTATACAGTTTACTTATTGTAAACAATACCCAAGAATGAGTTACAGGCTTGAATACATCAAAAGGGTCACAGAGTAATGGATACCTAGGAGTGAGTAACGAGATGGAATGTGTTCAAGGGGGCTGGGTGGTTTATATATCTATTTTTTTTTCTTGTCTAGCACAAACCTCCAAAGTGAGGACAAGGGGTTCCAGATCTTCATACGTTATCTTCACAGCTGCAGCTGCCATTTTGGCATGTAGCTGGCTGTCTGCGACGATTCCACAGATCATATGGCCCACACAGGTTACCTGCACAGAATAAAGTATGTTGAAGGCCAGGACTGAGTCTAAAGGCAAGAAGTGTTCTCATGATCTGTGTGTGATGTCCAGTAATTAAAGGCTGGAGCAGGAACTTTACAAGTACTGGAACTCACTGACTGGGACCGGCTCTTCCAGTCTTTGAAATGAACAGTGACTGGATGTACCCCAAAAGGGATGTACTCCAATGAGAAAATTGTCTGGCAAGTTTAAACTTCCAATGTGTAATTGCCCTAGGTCAAAAGTTTCCAATTCTGAATTCAAGTTGGAATCTTCATGCGGTTCTGTCTCACTTACCTGGCTAATTACCCAGGAAATATTACAGACTATAAGCAGTTCTAACTTCTGAGTAACTGCACAACTGAATCTCCCAACTCCTCCTGATCTCCTTACTCTCCTTCAATTCCCTTAGGCCGCACCCAACCATTGCCGAACATATCTCCCCAAGCATTGCTCCCCACCCCCTGCTACCTTGCCCCCTACCCCGCCACCATTCCAGACCCCAGACTGACCTGAACGCCCTCCCCTCAAAGACCTTCGGCCTGACCCGACTACACTAACTTGATCTGACTGCCCCTACCTAACTAACCCCCAAACTCAACCCCAGTAATCCATACATACCATCAGACCCAACATCACTACCCCAATGACCCAACTTGACGCAACTACACTACCTCCCCATATCCCCACCATCTGACCCTGTGCCAATGTAACCCAACCACATCCCCATGCCAATTGACCCCCAACCAGCCAACTACTTCTGTGCTCCCACATCCCCAACCAATCATCACTACCTTTGCCCCAGGCTCCCTCTGCAACCTGATCTGATAGCCCTCTGAACCGACCTAGTCCTTACAGCCACCTGTCATCCAATCTCCTTACCCACACATCTGCTACCCTTCTGGCTTACCTACCTGTCATGGGCCCCTCACCCACATTCCTGTGCTATTATACCTTCATCCACCTGCCATCCTACCTCCTCACTCACCTGTCACCCTACCTCCTTACACACCTGCCCAAATGTCCTCTTATCTACCTATCAATTATCCATCTTACCCCTCACCCACTTATCTGCAACCCTATCCTATCACCCATACACCTGCCCCACTTCCTGCAATTCCCTTCCTGCAATTGTACCTCTCACACATCTTCAACCGAATCCCCTCACCTACCTACCACCCTATTTCTTTAGCCATCTTCCACCTGGCTCCCCAAACCACGCATTTACAACCCTAACCCTCACCCACCTTAAATTACTTCACTCAAAGGGTTGTAAATCTTTGAATTCCCTGCTCCAGAGGGTTGCTCCATGTGCTGCTCTACCATTTAATACAGTTAAGGCTGGGATAGACAGATCTTTGATTACTCAGAGAATCAAGCGATACGGGCAGCGAGCAGAAAAGTGGAGTTGAAGAACACGATCAGCCACAATCATATTGAATGGCAGAGCTGAACGTATGGGTCACATTGTCTACTCTTGCACCTATTTCTTAGGTTCTTGCATCTCAGTGCTAAATCCCTAGAGAAGAAGGTGTGATTACAAAGTTAAAAACCAAAAGTACTACAGATGCTGAAAATCAGGAACAAAAACAGAAATTGCTGAAAAAGCTCAGAAAGTCTGGCAGCACCTGTGAAGAAAAATCAGAGCTATCGTTCCAGTTCTGAGGAAGGGTCGCTGGACCTGAAACGTTAACTCTGATTTTTCTTCACAGATGCTGCCAGGCCCAATGGTTACAAAGTTCATGAGTTTTACAAAAATTGGCCATGTGCTTGATGGTGAGGAAGAAAGCTGCAGGAAGTTAACAATAGATAGGTCATTTGGGAAGAAAAGTGAAAAGTGGTATTCAACCTAGAAGTGTGAGGTAATGCATTTGGGGAGAAAAGTAAAGCAAGCAAATGCACAATAAATGGCAGAACTTTGAGAATGTTAGAGGCAGACAGGAGCCTTGGAGTGCATGTCCACAGATCCCTAAAGATAGCAGATTTGGCAGAAGCTGGGTAAGAAGGCAGACGATACTTTTTTCTTACTAATCTTGGCACTGAATGTGAGAGCAGGGTGTTATTCAAAAATTCTACATATTCTGCTAAGACTGTAGGTCGGGTATTGCACACACTTCTGATCACTGCATTGCAAGAATAATCTGTTTGTACCTGGGAAAAAACAGAGATGTGGAAGGGTGTTGCCAAAAGTGGAGAATTTTGGCTGAGGAGAGATTGAATAGGCTGGGGCTGTTTATTTAAGCAATAGGGCCTCCAGCAGCAGATGGTGATATTAAGGGAGGGTACCAAACAGGGGAACTAGATAGTATCTGCGGACCCTTTCTGGAGGAAGGGGTCTTTGTTGGGGAGGCCTCATGGGAACAGAGACAGGGACAAAACATTCCTCAACTAAGAAGTGATCTATAAGCGCAATCCAAAGTAAATACTCTCTTTTCCTTGTTTTAACAGTACCTTCGCTTAATATTTGCAAAGACCTGAGCCAGGGGAATAAAGAATTCCTGCTTCGTGATCTTTAGGTCATTTGTGCATTTAAATCTCTCATTATGTTTCTGATTCCACAGGACAGGCATCAAGCTGTGATGGACAAGGTTGAAAGGTACCTAGCAAGATGGTATGGATGCTGGAGGATTTGAAACTCTCAGTTCTCAAAAGGGAGGCCAAAGCTGCTACATTCGCAGAGGAAATTGGACTAGACGGCTTTATAAATCACAAAAATTTAGTTGTGATTTGTAATGCTCCTGCCACCTTCATACGTATGATGCAGAAGCAGTTGATGACCAGAATTTTCAGTCCAGTATGTCTAGACAATACGCTTGGCTTTTGCTTGTCACATGAGATGAACCTCAAAACACTGAGCACTGTCTTAGCTTGCATGTCAAAGTTAAACTTAAAAAGTCAAACCAAGAGTACGAAATTTTCCAGACAAAAGTACAGTACCTTGGCCACTTGTTACTGAGGAAGGCAGTACACCTCGGAATGAGAAAATCAAGTGGTACAGGATAGGTCCCAGTCCAAGACATAGAGGGAAATGCATGGGTTCCTTCGATCAACTCGTTACTATAGGCGTTTGTGCAAGGCTCTGCGCAGTTGGCCCCTTTGCCTGACAACTTCCCGGGGAAGCTAGAGAATGTTGTAGGAACTAGTGGGAAAGGGTGTACAAGACTTGATACTTCATGGAACATCACAGAGAATTACATTCCAGCCTACGAAGATTCCTTCTGAATCCTTAAACAGAAGATTATTTCATCACTGGTCATTGGCTACAGATTTCTATACCCCTTTCATGCTGGAAGTTGCTGTACCTTCTTCGCCTATGAGCACTGCTGTCACAGATTGAAGGCCAGAAAAGACTGATTGTCACTTATGCCAGTCAGAGTCTCAAACCAAATGAGAGGAATATGCAAACTTACACCAGTGTGAAGTGCTAGCTTTAAGTAGGTACTTCCCAGAAATTCAAAGACATTCTGATTGGTGCAAATTTTCAAGTATTTACAGACAACAATACATTCAGCTACTTTCAATAAAAGGGGAAGATTGTTAGGGAAAGTGTGAGTATTCAGTGAGAGTGGGGTCATCAGGATGAAGTGATCAGGAGGATGTGGCAGTGATTGGGAGGGAGTGATCAGGGAGGGAGGAGTGACAAGGAGATCAGAAAGACAGGTAGCAATTGAGACAGAAGGGCAGATAGGGAAGGTGAAGATTGGGAAGTGGGGAAGATTTTATGAGAGATTCAACGATCATAAGGAAGGGAAGGAAGGAGTGATTGAAGGGAGTGTGAAACTGTAGGAGAGAGGATGACTGAGGATAAATTGGTGTAACTTTGGTGAAGATCATTGAGGGTTCACAATGGAAGTTCTTTCCTTCATACAGTAATGGACTTGTCAAGTTAAACAGGACATCTTTCAAATATTGGAAGAGGAATGCATAGTTTACTTGATAAAGTGTGAATCAAAAAATACAACAGTCATATTCTCATTGGTTAATAAAAGTGTAGCTTTTGGAGAATAATAAACTTAATCAAGACTAATAGTGGGATTGACAAAAAGTGCAGCATTTACCTCACTTCCACAGAGAATCTCTTCCATGCCAATTTTCTTCCCTGGGATATCCTGAGTTGTGATGATATCAAAAACTCCAGGAAGGTGCAGTGCCTCTGATGCATCAATTGACCTGAATCACAATGTGAAGTAAACATGGATTACTTCCATGTTTACTTGGATTACGGATTACTGTGGATAACTGTGCTTAAGAATATAAAACACATAAGAAATAAGAACAGAATCTGAGTTCTTGTGGCGCAGTGATAGCATCCCTACCTATTGCCCAATAGCTCTGACTTCAATAATCATGAAGTGCTTCGAGAGGCTGGTCATGGCCCACATCAACTCCAGTCTCCCAACCTGCCTCAATCCCCTACGGTTTGCCTACCGACATAACAGGTCCACAGAAGATGCCATATCCCTAGCCCTGCACTCATCCCTGGAACATCTGGACAACAAAGACACCTAAGTCAGACTGCTCGTTGACTACAGCTCTGCCTTCAACACCATTAACCCCTCCAAACTGATCTCAAAACTGCATGACCTTGGTCTCGACTCTGCCCTCTGCAATTGGATCCTCAACTTTCTGACCCATAGGCCACAACCAGTGAGGATAGGTAACTGCACCTCCTCCACAATAACACTCAACAGTGGAGCCCCCCCAGGATGCATCCTCAGCCCCCTACTGTACACCTATGACTGTGTTGCCAAATTCCGAACGAACGCCATCTACAAGTTCACTAATGACACCACTGTGGTGGGACAGATATCTAACAACAACAAATCAAAATACAGAAGGGAGATAGAGGACTTGGTGACATGGTGCAATGAAGACAATCTGTCTCTCAATGTTGGCAAAACTAAAGGACTGATCATCAACTTTAGAAAGAAAGGAGGAGAACACGCGCCCATCTACATCCACAGAACTGAGGTCAAGAGAGTGAAGAGCATCAAGTTCCTCGAAGTGACGATAACCGACAACCTGTCCTGAACTTCCCACATAAATGCGAAAGTCAAGAAGGCACAACAAGCCTCTTCTTCTTCAGGAAATTTGGCATGTCCATAAGGTCCTTTACCAACTTCTACAGATGCACCATTGAAAGCATACTGTCGGGGTGCATAATAGCCTGGTACGGCAACTGCTCTGCCCAGGACCGTAAGAAACTACAGAAGGTGGTGTTCACAGCCCAGACGATCACGAAAGCCAACCTTCCATCCATGGACTCTATTTATATGGCCCGCTGCCATGGAAAGGTGGCCAACATCATCGAAGACCCATCGCACCCTGGGATTGACCTCCTATAACCTCTTCCATCAGGCAGAAGTTACAGAAGTCTGAACACACGCACAAGCAGGTTCAAGAACAGCTTCTTTCCAGCCGTTATCAGATTGTTGAATGGACTCTAGCCCTCAGAAAATGTAACCTGCAACATAACCAGTATGCCTCTTAGTCTTTTTGATCTGTACATCCTTTGCTGGCTGTGATCTGTCTGTACTGCTCGTAAACAAAGCTTTTCAATGTATTTCGGTACATGTGTCAATAAAAATCAAAATCTGGCCAAGTTCAAGTGCCACCTGCTCCAGAGGTGTGTAATAGTATTTCCAAATAAGCTGACCAAAGATTTATGTGGCTCTCTTGTGGTACAGTGGCAGTGTCCCTACTCCTGGACTGGGAGGCCTGGGTTTGAGTCCCACCTGCTCCAGAGGTGTGTAATAACATCTGAAGAGGTTGATTAGAAAACAAGTTAAATAAAAAAATTAAGACAATGATCCCCTTTTGTCTACCCCATTCAACAAGAACATGGCCAATCCTTAATCTCAATCCAATTTTCCACCCAATCCTCCTATATTAATAGTAGACAGATACAGCAAGTGATTAGGGAGACAAATGAAATGTTGGCATTTATTACAAGGAGAATGAATGTAAAAGTTGGGAGATTTTATTGTATTTGTACAAGGCCATAATGAGGCTGCATCAGGTACTTTTTATTTGAAAAAGAATGTAACTTCATCAGAAGCAGGTCAGAGAAGGTTCACTTGACTCATTAGCAAAGTCAGTCCCTCGAGCCTGTTTCACAATTCAATGAAATCAAGGCTGATCTGTGGCCTAATTCCATACACCTGCCTTTTGCCCAAATCGAATAACACCTTTATTTAACAAATATTCATCGACCTCAAATTTAAAATTAACAACTGATTCAGCATCCACTGCCATTTGTGGAGGAGAGCGTGAAACCTCTAACACCCTTTGTGTGCAAAAGTGCTTCCAAGGCAGTAACAAGCTCAGAAACTGAGTAGTCCTTGTGCAACTCAAACTGAGCATCATTGAGCAAGTTATTGCTGAGCAAATGTTGCTTTATTACAGTCAATAGCGCCTTCCATCGCTTTGCTGCTGATCAGGAATACAGCAATGGAGTAGTAATTGGATGGATTAGATTTCTCCTGCTTTTTGTGGATGTTCAAATCTTCAATACATTATCACGTAAATGCCAGCATTGTAGCAGTACTTTTATAGCTTGGCAGGGTGTAATTGGAAGATCAAGAAGTTATAACGTATGTAAATTGGGACAGGGTGCACCTAGGAGAGAAGCTGCGGCATGGTGGCTCAGTGATTAGCACTGCTGCCTCACAGCGCCATTGGCCCGGGCTCGATCCCATCCTCGGGCAACTGTCTGTGTGGAGTTTGCACATTCTCCCCGTGTCTGCATGGGTTTTCTCCGGGTGCTCCGGTTTCTTCCCACAGTCCAAAGATGTGCAGGCTAGGTGGATGGCCCATAGTGTTCAGGGATGTGTAGATTAGGTGGGTTATATGGGGATGGGTCTGGATGGCATGCTCCGAGGGTCATTGTGGTCCTGTTGGACCAAAGGGCCTGTTTCCACACTGCAGGGATTCTAAGATCTAATTCTAAGAAAATTAGAGTGCATGTTAAATGGAACAATGGAATAGAGTATGATCAGTGTTTGATCATGAGAGAAATCAAAAGGGAATATTGTGTGAGGTAAATGGGACCGGATTTAACTGCGGGAGAGCTTATAAAAAGTGTTAAATGGGACAGGGACAGCCCTAAGGAATCCAGCATACGTTACCCAACAGTGTGACTGAAGCTTTGCAATCAATCACAGACTGATTGATTGAACAAGCTAACCCACATTTATAAAATCTAGTCAGCTCTTGGAAGTGTGTTACCATCTTTAACTGGACTGAAGCCATGGCAGCACTGACTGAACTTACTGGCACCTGAAAAATGCAGCTCCGCATCTCACTACTGTCACACCACAAACATTGATTTCAGATCCAGTAGGAAGACTCTGGCCACCTCCAAAATCTCCCACCCAATGTCTCTATGACTAGAAGAGGGATTGAGAGAAATGATGTGAGGGTCACCATAGACGATCTGTAAAAAAGGGGAAAACATATTGGGCTTTGCAGCTTTTCCTCATTCCTACAATTGTTCCTGTTCTTACATTAAAGCACAGTTTTCAGTTTCTCCCCAGGAGCAAAATTTCACTTTGCTGTTGAAGAACTTACACAATCTTTGCATGAGCTCGAGTGCTGGTGACTAATGCCAAAAACAGCTCCCCCTCCTGGCTTGGTATATCATCACAGTAAACCGCCTCTCCAGTTGCGTGCTTGATCGCAGAAAGGTGCATCACTGGCTGCCCAAGTGCATCCCAAGAAAACTGATCCAAAACAACTTTCTGCATACAAAACAAATTCATTGTGATTTAACACTCATTGAACAAGTATGAATTTTTGCTAGATTAAATAGTTGGAGCTTTTCTCCCCGAATAAGAAGGGGTAGAGCTATAGAAATCTATAGGAGAGAATAAGACCCTTCAGACCATTGAGCCCACATCAGTCGAAAACAACCACATAACTATTCTAATCCTACTTTCCAGCTCTTGGTCCATAGACTTGTATTCTTTGACACCACACATGCATACCTGAATACTTCTTAAACATTACAGGAACATAGGAACAGGAGTAGGCCATTCAGCCCCTCGAGCATGTTCCACAATTCAATGAGATCATAGCTGATCTGTGGCCTAACTCCATATAACTGCCTTTGGCCCATTTCTTTAATAAGTTGGTTTAACAAATATTTATCCACCTTAGATTTAAAATTAATAACTGATCCTTCATCCACCGACATTTGGGGGAGGGAGTTCCAAACATCTATCACCCATTGTGTATTGAAGTGTTTCCTAACATCTCTCCTGAATGGTCCGGCCCTAATTATAGAATTACCAACAAATGGAAATAGATTATCTTTACCTACTGTATTTCCCCATTAATATGTTGAAAATTTAGACTAGTTCACCCTTTAATCATCTAGATTCTAGACAAAACAGGGCCTACGTGTACAATTTTGCCTCATAAGTCCCCTAAAGTCAATCATGTATCATAGTTGTAACCCTATATTGTACAGCCTTGAAGGCCAATATATCCAACCCCAAGGTGTGCTGCCCAGATCTGCTCTTAGTACTCCAAGTGGGGTGTAACCAGGGTTTTGTATAATTGCTGCATCCTTGTCCTCCAGTACTCTGGATATAAAGGCCAAAATTCAATTGACTTTCTTGATTTTTTTCTGCACCTGTTCATGGCATTTTAAAGATCTATGCACCTGAGCACCTGTACTCTTTGGACATTCACTATAATTAACTTCATTCCATGTAGAAAGTACCCTGATCTATCCTTTCTCAGTTCAAAAAGGATAACCTCACATTTGTTTACATTGAACTCCATCTGCCACAATTTTGCCCATTCACTTAGTCTATCAATAGCCCTTTGAAACTTTTTGCTATCATCTACACTGTCTTCACTGCCGCCTAAGGGTTCTGAAGGTTTCTGCCTCTACCATGATTACAGGCAGTGAGTTCCAGATTCACATCACCCTCTGGGTGATAAACTTTATCCTCATATCTCTTCTGAATCTTCTTCCCCTTCCCTTAAATTGATGCCCCACGGTCATTAATTCCTTTCATCAAAGGGAAAAATTTCTTCCTGTCTAACTATCTATGCCCCTCATAATTTTATACATCTCAATCATGTACCATTTCCATTCCCTCTGCTCTAAGGAGAAACACCAGTCTGACCAATCTCTCTCCATAAGTGAAACTCTCCAGTCCATGCAACATTCTGGTAAATCTCCTCTGCACCCTCTGCAGTGCTATCACATTCCTCCAATAATGTGGATTCCAGAACTGCACACAATACTCCAGCTATGCCCGAACCAACATTTCATACAGTTCCAGAATAATCTCCGTGTTGATAAACACTGCACCTCTCCTAATATAGGCAAATATACCATATGACTTCATAACCATTTTATCCACCCATCTTGATTCCTTAAGGGACTGATGAATCTACACACCAAGGTCCCTCTGGACCTTGGCGTTTCCCAGTGTCCTACCATTCATCATGTATTCCCTTGGCTTGTTTGTCCTGCCCAGGTAAATCACCTCACATTTAGCAACGTAATGGATTGAATTCCATTTCCAATTGATCAACCCACCTGACCAGCCCATTTATATCCTCCTGTAATCTAAGGCTATCCTCCTTACTATTCCCGACCCCACCTCTTTTTGTGTCATCTGCAAACTTACTGATCGACCTTCCCACTTTCAAGTCTAAAATCATTTATACAAAGTACAAGTGCCTCAATACTGATCCTTGTGGGACCGCAATGGACAGACTTCCAGTCGGAAAAACACCCTCAATCATCATCGTCTACTTCCTGCCACTCAGCCACTTTGTTATCAGTATCCCATGTGGGGCCTTGTCAAAATCCTCACTGAAGCCCAAATAGACCACATCAAAGGCACTAACCTCAGCTACACAGCTGGTTACCTCTTCAAAAAATTCTGTCAAGTTGGTCAGACATGACCTCCCCTTAAAAAAATCATGTTGACTGTTTCTGATCAATGCCCGTCCCTCTAAAAACGGATTAGTTCTGTCCCTCAAAATTGCTTCCAATAACTTCCCCACCACTGAGTTTAGATTGACTGGCCTATAGTTCCATGGTTTTCTCCTTGCTCATTTCTTGAAGAATGGTGCCACATTGGTTGTCCTCCAGTCCTTCAGATCGCTCCTGTGACCAGAGAAGAATTAAAAATTTTTGCAAGCACCTCTGCTATTTCAAATCCTGTCAAATATATCCCACCGTTTTGAGACAGATTTACCTGATAGTATCTGCTCCCAGTCTGCTCCGTCTAAATCATACTCAAACCAGTTCTAAGAAGAGTCACTGGTCTCGAAACATTAACTCTGCCTTCTCCCCATAGATGCTGTCAGACCGATTAAGTTTCATCAGCAATTTCTGTTTTTGTTTCAGATCCCCAGCACCCACATTTCTGTTTTAATTTACTGCTCAAATCAGATCCTATTAAAATCAGCCTACCCCCAGTGGAGAACTTTGATTTCAGGCCTATTCCATAACAATGTTGAATCTATTATAGTTATGACTGCTGTCTGCATGATACCCCCCTCTCAACTGATATTCCAACAAGTTGCCTTGCTTTGTTTCCTAAAATTAAATCTAGGACTGCCCTTCTCCTAAAGGACCATCTACGTACTAGCTTGAAAAGCTGTCCTGGATGCATTTTAAGAATTCTGCTCCTTCTAAACCTTTCACTCTATGACTACCTCAATCAAGGTTGGGGGAATTGAAATCCCCTCCTTCCACTACCCTGTTACTTTTGCACTTCCCTGAACAAGGAAACAAGGGACAACAAGGTGCAGAGCTGGATGAACACAGCAGGCCAAGCAGCATCATAGGAGCAGAAAGGCTGACGTTTCGGGCCTAGACCCTTCATCAGAAATGGGGGAGGGGAAGGGGGTTCTGAAATAAATAGGGAGAGAGGGGGAGGCGGATAGAAGATGTATAGAGGAGAGGATAGGTGGAGAGGAAACAGACAGGTCGAAGAGGCGGGGACAAGGGAGTTTCCCCAGATAAACATACAAATGCTGAGAGATGTGCACTTAGTGGAAGAGCCACAGGGCAGCACAGCTGGGGCTGGACAGCTACCTGGGGGCATTATTGTCCCAAAGGATAACGGGATAGGTTGAGGCCAACCCCTCCCCAAAGTAACAGAACAGAAAAAGTTAGTAACTGTGAAGTTCCACCGCATTTGTAACTATTACAAGAGGAGTTTAAGTCCAGATAAAATAGAATCTAACACAGACTCCAGTCATCCGGTGAGTGTCTGCCAGAGTGTTAGTACATTACAGGGCAGCAAGGAGTAATCAGTTCAGAAAGAAAGACTTGAAGATCCCCAAGTTGAACAGCTGGCTGCCAGACATTGGAATCTTAAACAGAAATGGCCAGTTAATACTTCTGAGCAAAATACAGTGGAAGAATTTGACTACCCTGCTTGCAAAATTAAGAGGAATCCAAAGGCATTCGCCAGGGTGTACTACACTAATAATCCATGACATAGATGTGGCAGAATCCCAAGCAATAAACCAAAATCCCTATCAACTTATCACCTTCTGTCCTTGGATGAGGGTGAGAGCTTGGGATAGTGAGAATGACAGGGATACCCTGGAGTTGTCAAATTTGCAGCAAGACATCCCTTCTCCTATGTTCGAATGCTCTCTCTATGAAAGCCAACATACCATTTGCCTTTTCACCACCAGCTTCACCTGTGTGCTTAACTTCAGCAACTGATATACAAGGACACTGAGGTCTCGTAAGTCCCCCTCTCAGTTTATAGCCAGATAATAATCTGCCTTTGTTAGTTTGCTTTGGAAAAGTGGATAACAACACCACATTTATCTATGTTATATGCATGCATTTGTCCACTCACTCAACTTGCCCAAAGTATCTCTGTGTCCTTCTCACTTTTCAACTGCCCATCCATCTTTGTGTCATCTTCAAACTTGGAGATATTACTTTTAGTTCCCTCATCCAAATCACTAAAATATATTGTGAATGGCTGGGGTCCTAGCACTGATCCCTGCAGTACCCCACTTGTCACTACCTACCATTTGAAAAAAGTCCTCTTTATTCCTACACTTTGTTTCCTATATGCCCGTCAGTTTTCCATCAATCTCAATGGACCACTCCCAATTCCACATACTTTAATTTTACATGCTAATCTTTTATGTGAGACTTTGTCAAAAGCATTCTGAAAGTCCAAATAAACCACATCCACTGGCTCCCTCTCATCAATTCGACTAATTACATTCTCAAAGAATTCCAGGAGATTCACCAAGCATGATTTCCCTTTTGTGAATTCATACTGACTTTGTACCAAACAAAAACATAAATTTCTGGAGAAACTCAGCAGAGTTGGCAGCATCTATGGACAGAAAGCAGAGTTCAGGTTTTTGATCCAGTGACCCTTCTTCAGAAGGAAGAGAAGTTATGACGAAAGGTCACTGGAACCAGAACATTAACTCTGCTTTTTCTCCATAGATGCTGAAGTTTCTCTAGCAATTTCTGTTATTGTTTCTGATTTCTAGCATCCACGGTATTTTTTTACTATGTCCAATCCTGCCACTGCTTTCCAAGTGCTCTGCCATTAAATCTTTTATAATGGACTCTAGCACTTCCCCACTACTGACATCAGGCTTACTGGTCTCCAACTCCCATTTTTTTCTCTATCTCCCTTTTTAAATAGAGGGGTTACATTCGCTCCCCTCTGATCTGTAAAAACTGTTCCAGCATCTTGGAAGGCGACCATTAATGCATCGACTATTTCTAGGGCCTCTTCCTTAAGTACTTTGGGATGTGGTTATCAAGCTCTGGGGATTTACCAGCCATGAATCTGCCATTTACCTACTAATACGGATTTCCTTCAGCTCCTCCCTCTCACTAAACTGTGCTCTCCATCATTTCTGGTATGTGATTTGTGTCCTCCTTTGTGAACACAAAACCAAGGTATGCATTTAGTTGGTCAGTCATTTTTGTTCCCCATTATACATTCCCCTGCTTCTGACTGTAAGGGACATAAATCAGTTTTCACCAAACTTCTTCGCTTCACATATCTACAGAAACATTCACGGGAAATTGCTTTGTGCTCCTCAAGCTTACTCTCATACTCTATTTTCCCCTTCTTAATCGGTTATTTTGTCTTCCTTTCCGGAATTCTAAACCCCCCCCTTCCTCAGGTCTGTGTTTTTTTTTCAACCAATTTGTATGCCTCTTCCATGAATCTAATACCATCTCTAATTTCTCGTGTAAAGCATGGTTTGGCCACCTTTCCTGTTTTACTTTTGTGTCAGACAGAAATAGTTAATAAAAACCGAAAGAACTGCGTATGTTGTATATCAGGAACAAAACCAAAGTTGCTGGCAAAGCTCAGCAGGTCTGGCAGCATCTGTGAAGGAAAAAAAAGAGTTAACGTTTTGGGTCCGGTGACCCTTCCTCAGAACTGAGGATGGGTCACCGGACCCAAAATGTTAACACTTTTTTTTCTTCACAGATGCTGCCAGAACTGAATAGTTGTTGCAGTTCACCTATGCACTCTTTGAATGTTTGCAATTGCCTTTTCGCTGTCATCTCTTTCAGTATTGATCCTCAATGTATCATAGCCAACTCATGCCCCATACCATTGAAATTTCCTCTACTTAGATATAGCACCTTAGTTTCAGAATCACGATCTCACTCTCAATCTTGATGAGGAATTCTATCATATTATCGTCACTTATCCCCAAATGGAGGATAAGATGTGTTCAAGGGCAGCACGGTGGCTCAGTGGTTAGCACTGCTGCCTCATAGCGCCAGTGACCGGGATTCAATTCCACCCTCGGGCGACTGTCTGTGTGGAGTTTGCACATTCTCCCTGTGTCGGCGTGGATTTCTTCCGGGTGCTCTGGTTTCCTCCCACAGTCCAAAGATGTGCAGGTTAGGTGGATTGGCCATGCTAAATTGCCCTTGGTGTTCAGGGATGTGTAGTTTACGTGTGTTAGCCATGGGAAATGCAGGGTTACGGGGAAAGAATAGAGGGATGGATCTGGGTAGGATGCTGTTCGGAAGGTTGGTGTGGACTTGTTGGGCCGAATGGCCTGTTTCCGCACTGTAGGGATTCTATGATTCTATGAAGTACATAGAGGACTTATTAAAACTAGGCACAATCCCAGTTAGACCAGGCCTAGAATATTATAAAGAGATTTGGTAGCTTTACCCAAAGAATACCAGCTCTGGAGGCAGTCCAGCAAAGGTTCACTATATGGATCCTGAGTATGGAGAGATTTCCTTGAGGAGAGATTGAGTGGTTTGGGCCTGTACTCATTAGAGTTTAGAGGAATGAGAATGTGGTTGTACTGAAACATACAAGATTTTTAGAGGGCTTGACAGGGTAGATGCAGAAAGGATATTGCCTATTGTGGGAGATTCTAGGACCAGAGGGCATAACCTCAGAAAAAGGGATCATACATTTAAGACAGAGATGAGGAGGAATTTATTCTCTCAGAGAGTAGTGAATCTATGGAATTCCTTACAGAGGGCTGTAGATGCTGGGTTATCAAGTATATTCAAGGCTGAGATAGACAGAGTAACGGAAATCAGTGATTACAGTAAAAAGGCAAGAAAGTGGAGTTCAGGATTATCAGATCAGCATGATCTCATTGAATGAAGTAGCAAACTCAGTGTGCTGAATGGCCCACATCTGCTCCTATGCCTAATGTTCTTATGTTTTAACACTGACACCACATAAGTGTCATTTCTAGTAAAAGAGAAGCTAGCAGTTATGCTTTGGCATTCAGTAGCATTACTATCACTAACAACATTGAGGGTTAGCATTGACCAGAAACTGAGCAGGACTTGCCACAGTGTGGTTTATAAGAGCAAGCCAGAGGCTTGGAATCCTACTGTAAATAATTTACAAGGCACAAATCAGCAGTGTGATGGAATACTTCCCACTTGCCTAGATGGGTGCAGCTCCAGCAACACTCAAGAAGCTTGACACCATTCAAGACAAAAAAGCCTGCTTGATTGGTACCACAGCTGCCAGCATTCATTCCCTCCATCACCAATGGTCAGTAACAACAGTACGTACCATTAACAAGATGAAGTACAGAAATTTACCAAAGATCCTCAGACAGCACCTTCCAACCTAATGACCACTACCATCAAGAAGGGAGCAGATTTATCAGAACAGCACCAACTACAAGTTTCCCTCTGAGCTACACACCATTCTGACTTTGAAATATATTGTTTTTCCTTCACTGTCACTGTCAAAATCCTGGAACACCCTCTTTCATGGCATTGACAGTTTACCCACACCAGATGAACTGCAGTGGTTCAAGGAGGCAACTCACCACCATCTTTCAAGGGCAACCAGGGATGGGAAGTACATATTGGCCTAGCCAGGACTTCCATATCCCATAACTAAATAAGGAAAATACTAATTTCATTCTATTCCTCAATCTCCTTACAGTTTGTTGTTCTTTGTGTGCTATATTCTTGAATCCTTCCAATCCTCCAGTTTGCTACTATTTTGGTAACTTTATAGTCCTTTTGATTTAATCCTCTGTGATCCTTAACCTCCAAGTCTTAATCCTTTGTTAGCCAATAACTCCATGCAAATACCAGAAGGGTAAAAGGCAAATTCAACGAACGTTGCTTTTTTCCCTTTCTGGCAATCCCAATGTTGACATTTGGTTTCCACAAACCTGTGTTAATGCTGCATTAGGGGAAAGCAATGCTTTTGGATCAGTGCTGCACTGCTGGGCGGCACTGCTAATACATCAACTCAGACATCTGAACCACTATCTGCTACCTTTGCCCAAATCCCTGGGATCCCCTACCTAAACCTCTGTACCTTTCCACTTTACCTCTTTCTCCACCTTTAAGATGCTCCTTAAACATACCATCTTGGCCAAATTCTGGTCATTTGACTTAATGGTTGAAGTTATCAGGTCTCAGGAACATTGGTGATGGGCAAGTCAAGAAATGCACATGAGAACCCCACAGACTTCTTGATGCTTACACATGCTGCAATTGCCTAGAAAGTTGAATATACCAATGGGCTGATTCCCTGATGCCTGCAAGCCTTTAATGAAAGTCTTCAACCTTGAACCCAGGGAAGACACTTAGATACATAGGATGTAACTGGATACTTACTCTGCCTCTGGAAATGTTTGGCAGTTTGGGCTTCCCAAACTGTGGATTTTGACTCCCAGTGGAGTCACCAGACAACTTCTCGGTCACAAGTTCCAATGGCATCCATGGTTCACTGACTAAGTGTTAACTCCTTGTAATCTCGCAGTTTGTTAAATAGTGAGCGTGGCTTATCTGCTTGATCTTGCAGGCCCAAATCCTGACCGAAAAATATTCATGGGAAGCTAGGGATGTTTTTTATACTTAAAAGTCCATGTGGATTAAGCAATGATTACCTCCCCTCTCTCACAGGTCTCTATCCCCCTCTTGTACCCCCACTTAGTTCTTAGACATGTCCCACACACCTACCCACCCATCTAAACACACTCTGCTCTCACCATACCACCACTGTTCTCGCAGGCATTTCCTCAATTTCCACAGGTGTTGATTCCCCACTCCCAGATCTCACAGGCATCTTCTGCACCCCACTTCTAACAGGCACTTACCCCACCCCTCTGCTCTCACAGGTCTGAAATCTTGATAACATTCAAGCACCAAACTGAGGCCATGATAAGAAAATGTTTGGGAAGCATCTTAAGACTTGTTCTGAATCGGAAATCAGTCAGTGTATCTCAGCTGAGCACCACCTGCTGTACCAAGCCTAATACCCACCCACTCCACTTCCACAGCCCACAAATCAACTGACCCTTTGATCAGACTTCCCTACACCAACGAACTACCCAAGTAACACCGACTGACCATCCGACTGCATGTCTGAACACCGTCACTACCATCCCCCAACACCCCATTGCCTGACCTGACTAGCCCACCAACCACCCAACTACTCTCCAACTACTGGACTACCCATTCTATCCTGTACCGACTTCCCCTGAGCACCCTTGAGTTGTCCACTCCTGACTCCTCCTTTACTGACCCACCACCTACCCACCTCATCCACTCACTGACTTAGCCTGCTGCAGAAAGGGCTGGATCTAGAAAAATGTAAAAATCTATAAAAATATAAATATGACAGCTACTATTGTGAAAGATGGCGTGTCCCCTCATCTTCCAGCTTTGCTTGCACCCACAATCTTCTCCTAGGATGGCTGTGCTGACCTGTTAATGCTTCAACTTGGATCAGAAGATACAACTCAAACTATATAGGGGTCAGGTTGCAGAAATATTCATAAAAAGCAGCAATGCACTGAACATCGATGCTGACTGCAAGTACTAAGTTAATATTCTGCATATAGCTGTTTGTCAAACTCCAACTGATAACTGTTCTATGAGTACCTTGGGATTTTTATTATGTTAAAGGTGTTGTATAAATGCAACAGAAACAGTATAAAGCACTGGCTAATTGGTGGATCAGACTACTCAATCTCTATCTTGCATTTGCTTCAAATCCAGCCTCTTACAGTGCTCTCACCAGCTCAGACAAGCTTGCAGCTTAACCTTCACTAGTGTAAAAATAGGTATCACAAACTGTCAATTCACAAAAAACAATCTGCTTCATCAAGACATCCAATTTGAGACAGGTTTCTGTAAAAGTTCAAAGCATGATGGTCCTTTGATCAATCATCTTCACTATTGATATCCTTCTCAAAGATCAACTGACCTGGAACCTTTGGAAGCCCTGAGGTAGCTTAATCGAAAATGGGATTGTTGCACTACGGAATCGCTCTGGGATGTTTACACCAAACGGATCCTAAACAGAAAATGAGAAGGAGCTGTGAGTTTAAGTAATGCAGAGAGTGGTGCTTCTATTGCAAGCTGATAGGATGAGTGGTGACTCCTTGCATTGTTTTCAGTAGGAAGTTGAGCTCATTCCTAACTGCAGCAAAGACCAAATCACCTAGAAGCTAAGTATCTCACACCACATGATGTCCTGGACTGGCTTTAACTGAGTAGATTAGAGGATTTTTCCAGAGCATCATCCCTTCTTGTTGGCCCTGGAAATTGTACTGTTTTTTCTGCCTATCCAGGAGATTACATGGGTGACAGGAATAAAAAAGTATTCACTCAAATTATTCCAATCATCATATAGTGCAGGGTTTGGCTTGATTCACCAGCTGGTCTTTGCCTGACCTTCAACTTTACTTCTTGCATGTCCTTATGTTGAATTTTTGCATGTTCTCACTCACATGCAGCTGTACCCACTTGCCCATTTTGACAGGTTCAGCATGAATTAATCAAATACAATAGACAGAGACACACCGGACAATCCCTCCCCCGCCCCACAGCTCTCATTCTCTAAATTGTCTTGAAAGTTTTTGAGGCAGCAGAAATCAAAAGTTCAAAGTACTTTCACAACAACATACCATGGTCCCCTTTTTTTTAACCCCATTCCCTTCACACCTTCACCAAATTTGACAAACTAATATGGCAAATTCCAAAATTAAAGGAGTGTTCACAGCACGTCTGCAGTGGATTGGGACATGAAGGGGTTCAGGACATATGAACAGGTTCTCCTTTTAGTAACTTTCCTTCATGGGACACAGGAGGAGATGGAGAGGCCTTTCTGAGCCCCGTGAGGACCACTTAAGTCTCCTGTTGTTTCAACTTCCTCCATAATGAACCCCATCATTCCCCTTTTCATGACCACCCCAAAATCCCTTTCTGACAACTCCCATGTCACCAGCCATGGAACAGGTGTAACTTGCCTCCTTGCCCAACAGTTGCTGCAGTCTCTGCCACACTTGTAGGTAGAACTTGTAGAAGAAACTGATGGTCAATGTCCTCCGGAACTTCACACACCCCCCTGGTGCTGAGTCAGGGAGTGAAATATCATCAAGCAGCAGCTCACAGGCCTGACTCAGCAGATTCTCATCCCAGGATCTGTTTCAGGAATGAAGAGGTTACAGGTTACACACTCAGAATCTGAGCAGTTGTGATACCTACAGCCAATCACTTGCAGCCTAAGCTGAGCTACCTAGATTGTATGTGTGAACAAGTGCAATAGTAACTTGCTAACACAACAAAGAATCATGCATTGACAAGACAAGATTCCTGGTGATACAGATGATAAATGTAGGTGCTGCTCCAGGTTTCTGCAAAACAGAAGTAAACTTGAATTCAAATTACTACTAGAAAGATGGGTGTAGCTCTGTAGTTCCGGCTGCTGCCCATCTCAAATTAAATATAAACCAAGAAGAAGAAAACCAATACAGCTACAATTTCCTGGTAGATTGGCCAAAAAACTAAGGGGAATGGAATATAACAAGTAGACAAACTTTGCTTTGTGATCTGTCATCAAAAAGGGTTCTCCAGCTTTACCACATGAATATTCTGAATATTTTCAGGCTTACCGGTTAGTTAGCTCCTTGCTGCATCTCTTTGCGTACACTGTAGTGGGGCCCACTCCTCCGAAGAACATCCTCAGGTCAGCAACGACATTCGTCTCATCTTTGAACACGACCTGCATTCCTGCATTCACAATGGAGAAGGCATTTTCCCGACGGGAGGCCTGGCGAAATGCCAACACAAACTGCCACTGCAACAAAGTGACAGAATAACCAACTTGTTTTGTGGGTTTTTCTGTAGTTCAGAGAATGACATAGCACAGAAGGAGGTGATTCAGCCTCTGGTGCTGGTACCAACTTATGAAAAGAGCAATACAATTAGTCCCACTCCATGATTCCATTGCCATAGCTCAGCAAACCTTTCAGTTTCAAATACTGATCCAATTCCCTTTCGAAAACTACTATTTAAATGCTTCCATTACCATTTCAATTAAGGCAGTCCAGACTCATTAGACAATAAAAATCTATGTCCCATCTAATTCTTTTGCCAATTATCTTAAATCTCCATCCTTTGGTTAACAGACCTCCTGCCAGTGTAAACAATTTCTCTCCTACTTTTGAAATCCTTTATCATTTTGAACACCTTTATCAAATTACACTTACCGTCTCTAGTCTGAGGAGAATAACACCAGTTCTTGCAGTCTCTCCACATTCCTAAAGAATGGTGTCCATAATTGGCCAAATTACTGCAGCGTAACTAAGGTCTGACCTGTGCTCTGTAAACATTGAGCATTTCTCCTGCCACCCCTCTTCCTTTTGAAAGGACTGGCTGATTCTAAATTGTAGTTACCGGCAACTCATATTCTTTGTGTGAACCTATTCGGTTGGGGAAGGGATAATATGAAATAAACACAGAGAATGCTGGAGAAACTCAGCACATCTGGCAGCATCTGTGGAGAGAGAAACAGAGTTAACCTTTCGAATCTGACATGACTAATTCGGAACTGATAAGATGCAAATGTTGTTGTTGAAGGGCCAAGTCCCATCAAATACCACACAGCCCTGGTTGAAACAAAACTGGGAAGAATTACTTCTCCTTGATGTCACTGATCTGCTCATTCATAAGCCAATGTGACGCTTTACTGGTAGCACCCACATCAGCAGGGAGCTGGGAGTGGTCCAAAATTCAGCCCGAGCATCATCGAAGCCAGCGTTGGCATCTGTCATCCCTTCACTGGCAACTGGTCTGATGCCGTGATCACAGAGGCTTTTGCAAAGATAGAGAGAGCACGGTGTTTTAAAAAAAAAGAAATAAAAATCCCACTTTTAACTAACAGTCCAGGAAATTGCTGGAGAGTCTTGAACAATGACAAACTTGAGGCCTACACCATTCATTGGTGACTATTTCTATAAGAGGATCTTTCATTGGGCTCCCCTACCGGGATGGCTGAGGAGTGGACCATCCAAATTTAGCACTTCCCCACTGCTAATCAACACCTTTGTGCGGGCTTTACTGGCTTTACACCCTGAATGCAGGGGCAATGCATCCCAAATGTCTTTTCAAGCAACTTACTTGGCGTCATAATTTCTTTGTGACTTCAAATGGAACTCTCACCTTTTCCTCCTTTGTGAACACCACCTCCATGAGGTCCATTTTCTCTCTCATGACAAACACAGCTCAGTACCTCTTTATAAAGCCTAGATCTATCCAAGATTTGAACACTGCTTTCATATCCAGGCATCCTCTTCAAATTCTTCGTACAATTTCCTATATTTTCTGTGAAGGATTATTACTCCAGCCACTCCCAGAAGTCAAGCTGTCCATTTAAACATTCAACAGTGATAATAAGCCTCACATTTAACCTATCTTATTATTTTAAATCTGGTCAGCTAGTCTTCTAGAATTCAGGAAACCAGGCAGCTCAGGGCAGTCAAGGATAGCTTCAGGGCAAAAGTTAAGTGTCTTGCCTAGGACAAGATCCCATGAGAGGGTTCAGATTCCACCTCCCACGATCAGGCCATATTTGTCACCTTGGATCAGACCACAGCATTCCCCCTGCTCTAGCGGCCAGATGCAATGGCAGATTTCAGACCTTGCCCCATCCTCCCACCACAGCAGCAGCAGGTTCTTGCCTTGCCCCTTTGGCTAGCAGTTTGCTTCAGAGTTCTCCTTGCCTGACAGGGACCATACCTGTCAATGAGAATGCATTCCAGACAGGGATCCCTGTATAGAACAAAAACCTTTAAACTCCACAGTACACAGGGACGGGTTTCCTCAGAAACATATTCTCCCCCTGACTTAAGAAATCCAACCTGTCTCAAAATCGAGGCCTGTGTTTCCTAAGACTTTGAAACTATGGAACTCTTCGCCTCTCATTATTTGCCATTCCACTAAATCCCCAGACTTTTAAAAGACAAGCTTAGTAGTACCTACAAACATTTACAGTTATCAGCTTTTCACTAAATTGCCACTAAATTGCTGACTTCCTCGTGGCCCCCATGCGTACCTGACAATTATAAATCATTTGTGCACAGTGTCTCTCTCTCTCTCAAACCACTGTTATCATCCTTCCTTTAGGAAATATATCTTTAGACCATCTATCCTTGCAAATACTGCACCATCTCTTATCACGCTTTCCTCTCTAGAATCCTTGAAAGGGTTGTCACCTGGAACTGTTGTTGGAGACTATCATCTCAGCCCTAGAATATCTCTGCAGGAAGTTTTCAGAGGAATGTCCCATACCCAAATATCTTCAGGCTGTTTCAGCAATGAACTTCCCTTTATGATAAAGTCAGAAGTGAGGATGTTTACTGATGGATTGCACAATGTTCAGCACCATTCATGTCTCTTCAGCAGTCCATCCCCAAATGCAGCAAGTCCTGAACTTCAGCCTTGGGCTGATAAGTAGCAAGTAACATTAGTTCTACAAGTGCCAGGTCTTGACCATCTTCAACAAGACAGAATCCAACCATCACCTTTGATATTTAATGGCATACCTATTACTAAATTCCCTATTATCAGCATCTTGAGGGTTACCATTTACCAGAAATCCAACTGGATCATCCAAGTAAGTACTGTGCCTAGAAGAGCAGATCAGTGTTTGGGAATTCTGTGGCAAGTAATTGATCCCCTGTCTCCTGACAGCCTGGCCTCTATATACAAGGCACAAATCAGGAATCATTGAGTCATCATAGAACAATGTACAAGCAGACCATTCAGCCCTCGAGTCCACACTGACCCTCCAAACAGCATCCGGACCAGACCTAGCCCCCTACACCCCTGTAATCCTGCCTTTCCCATGGTTAATCCACCCAGCCTGCATGTTCCTGGAGACTATGAGCAATTTTTCTAGCAAGGGCAATCCAGCTAACCTACACATCTTTGGACTATGGGAGAAAACCGGAGCACCTGGAGGAAACCCATGCAGACTCAGACAGAGTGTGCAAACAGACAGTTGTCCAAGACTGGAATTGAACCAGGTCCCTGTCACTGTGAGACAGCAGTGCTAACCACTGAGCCACCGTGCCACCCCTGTGTGATGAAATAGTCTTGATTTGCCTGGATGAATCTATCACCAACAACCCTCGAAAAGCTTGACAACATCCAGGGCAAAGTAGGTCACTTGATCAGCCCCACATTTAACACCTTCAATATTTATTCCCTTCACCACCAGTGCATAGTGGCAGCGAAGTATACTATTCAAAAGATGATCTGCCACAACTCATCAATGCTCCTTAGATAGCAGTTTCAAAATTTGTGACCTCCACCACTGAGAAGAGCAAAGATAGCAGATACATGAGAATACCATTATCTACAAGCACCCCTCCAAACTACACACCATCCTGACTTAGAAATATATCGTGTTCCTTCACTGTCACTGAACACCTTTAAAACTCTGCTGGCCTTATCCTAGTGCCATGTTCAAGTCACTCATCACCCCTGTGTTTCTGGCATTGGTGGCTGTTTAACTCTCCAAGAATTCTGACACTGGCCAGTTATACTTATCACAATCATCAGGAGGAAAGCGTTGAGCTTTTTACGGACTGTGATCTGGATTTTCTTCCTTCACTCAGTCTTCAGCATCTAACTCGTTAATTTAATGAGTCCTCGAACCAGTTTTAAAACCAGGAACAAAAACAAAGTTGCTGGAAAAGCTCAGCAGGTCTGGCAGCATCTGTGGAGGAGAAAACAGAGTTAACGTTTTGGGTCTGGTGACCCTTCCTCAGAACTGTTTTAAAACCAAGCTGATAGACAATCCTCCTAATATCTCAATTTCGTGTGATCAGGTCTTTGCAAAATGCCTTTGTATGCTTTTTTATGTGGAAGGTGCTAAATAAATGCAAGATGGCATTGTGTCCTTTCACCATGAGTTTTAATAACAAAATAAATCTAGACTACTTTTAGCAAGGAGCCCTTCCAACTTGCCACTCTGTCTTCAAATTGATTGTTCCTTCTCACCCATCAAGGGAAAAGGTGTAAGTCATTTGTCACTGACACTGATTTTCACCGCTGACGTTTCAACACACTTTCTGATCACACCAATTACCTCTTCAATGACCTACCTTTCTGGAAAATGGTATGAAGACTGACAGCAATAATTCTTCTGGCCTCAGTGACGTTTTACCAAAACCAACAAAGAAATTTTCATCTAAATGGATTTCTCTTCTTCCTCCTGTTGGAAGTAATAAAAGTAAACATCTATATCTCTATAATATTGGAAAAAAACACTTGTTCTGACTCAAAAACAAAGTTGCTGGAAAAGCTCAGCAGGTCTGGCAGCATCTGTGGAGGAGAAAACAGAGTTAACGTTTCGGGTCCGGTGACCGTTCCTCAGAACTGATGGTGGCTGGGAAAACGTCAGTTTATATGCAGAAAATAGGGAGGTGGGTGGGGTAGGGAGTAAACGATAAGATAGAGCCCAAAGAGACAGAAAGACAGTTGGACAGAAAAAGGAGTCGCAACTCTTTTGTCTGTCCAACCGTCTTTCTCTCT